GGCGTCTACCCACCCTCCAACGCCAAGAGTGGGTCATCCGCTGAGAGGCAAAACTGGTGTGATATTATAAACTCAACCAGAGTGGAGACGTCTCACTTTCTCAAAAATAAATCTGCTCATTTTTAGTTGCAGTACTTAATTATTTAAAAAAAAATTCTACTGAGCCTGAAAGTGACCACAGCACTGCACACAGAAAGAGGCCAATAACCTGTCTAATCTCCATTAATCTATTATCGTTTGTCCTTTTTTTTAATCCTTGGAAATTGACACAATTTAACCTTTTTTTGCGGCTGTAGCAGGAATAAGAAAAAGAAAAAAAATGGAAGCTTATATTCGAGGCTAAGAATGTGCTTTAAAGTAAAAGTCTGAGTCTAGGTTAGACGTTTGTTTATGGTGTTTTAACTTGGAGTGGGTTGGGGGGGCTTAAGAATGCAGTGACCCTCCACTGGAAAATATAAGCAAGCGTGCGCGTGTTTACCCCACATCACCACACGCCTGACAGCTGCCTCAGGCACACTGTGAAGATGCTTGATGAAAGTCATGAAGGACAAACAAGCTGTATATCAACACAATGATTTTTTAGGACGGCGCTGTGAACACCAGACGCACAAAGCAAGAAGAAGAAAACAGGAAACACAGACATTACATACATATTATTAGATAGCGAAAGTATCTGCCTGTCAGAGTGAGGGTTCTTTTTTTGTTTTTATTTACCTATAATCATATCATTCTTAACCAGGAAGCATTACATTTTGCAGCACAATTTACTTTTAATGCATAATCTTCACAACATTTATACAGAAGACAAAAAATCCCCCCACTGCACTTTACATTTCCATTTCAAAGTGAGCAGGACAGGAAATCTGAGGACGGCAATGGAGATTAGTGAAATACCATTAAGAAGGCATTAAGATTGAAAATATCCTGCTAACTGTCATGCTCAAATAATGTTCTCGCGTTTCCTGCTCGACAGTCTTCCCCGAGTGTCGCCGAGCTGACTGATGAGTGCGATGACATGCCAGCAGCACGGTGGCTTTAAAAAAAAAAACAGGATGGCTGGTGACGGCGGCCACTGCTGCGTTTCTCATCTCACAAACCGGCGGGGTTAAGTATTCCCACTGTCACACCATCAGCACCCGCCGGCTCCGCGCTTTACGGCAATTTTCCTCAACCTCTTTGGTCTTACATACCTGTAAACCTCCATTAAACGAGCTCAAGTACGTCCTCGACAAAACCAGCTGTCACATTCCGACTGCGGAGGACGGTATTTAAAGCTGGATTTATTCAGCGTGGTTTATCTCTTCGCGATACATAAAGTTGCACTCGCCGACTGTGACTTCGGTGTCAGGAGCTCCAAAAACTGCGATTCAAAAACCGACGTGCACAGGCATGAGTTTCCAGAAAAAAGATTTCGGTGGTGTCCAATGGGATGAGTCCTACACAACTTGGCAATCCCGCGCCTCGGAGTATGTCAATATCTGCAAGGTGGCAGGGAACAAAACTAATCCTGGAAAAGAAAAATCAATGCTGCCTCCAGGATGCAATGTAATAACTGGTCCCTTTAGTTTTTAAACGTATTTCGCTAACAAGTCGGAGAGTCTCATTACAGGCTGCAGTGCAAAGGTTAGTGTGACAATAACGAATGCGACTCATTTCTTTGTGTGTTTTCTTCCTGGATGTTTTCATAACTCATCATATCCCTCTTTCTTTCTCGTGCAAAACGTGTGCATTTGATCGGAAACCCTTGAAAGATCGATGTCAATGAACGCTAAGCATTGACGTCCACTATTGAAGCCTGGAGGATGTAAAGCCGTGGGCCTTGTTCTTTGAGCTGTAATCTCTACAAATACCAAACATAACGTTGCTCAAAGTAGCAAACTGTTTTAGTGCAGGATTAAAGAATTAATCCATTCATCTTCCAGAGGAGATATGACATCTACTCGTCAAGGTTTGAGCTGCTATTGAGTGGAGATGGACTTCCGATGGGAAAATTTAGCTTTTGTTGCCACACCCCCTTATACACTATAAACGTGAAAGCACATGGTATTCACTGTGGCCGATATTCAAGACGAATAGTTTCTTTACGGAAGTGCTTTTATATTTGCACTTAATGGAGTGAAAAGTGCTAAAAAAAATCACTAAAATAATCAGAATTAATGCTCTCCATCCAGTTATCTACATTTCAAATGATTATTCTGTTTTATTTACACAACCCTTCGGTGAACAAGCTGACAGTCGATATCAAAACAGCATATCGAGCAGATGCAGGTAAAAGGGTTTCTCATTTCAAGCTCAAGAAAACGCTCACTCAGTTTTACATCAATGTCTTTGGTGCCGGATGAGCTGCGAACACCACAAGATGGCTGTACCGAATTCCCTCAGCCCACCTTCTCCCATCATCTGACCAGGTTCCAGATTGTGCTGTCTCAGCAGAATCGGGTGAATTAAACTGTGATCAAGAGAGGGAAACAAACCGCTAGAAGTGAGTTAATCGTATAGAGTCACGTAAACTCAATCGCGCAATGAATTCAGATTTGAAAGACAATTAGAGCTAAATTAGCTTCTGAAAGTCAGGAGCGGAAAAATAAAAAACCATTCTGCACAGTGGACAATTTGTCATTGTCAGAGTAACATCTGCACAAATCAATAAAGGGGAAAAAAGACCCCTCGAATCATAACAAGTGATGGACCATCTCGCAAAACTACATTTTCCCTTTAAAGATACAGTAGCTGCCATGTGCTGAACGCCGTTAGGCTTCACGTCTCCATTTGGAATCTCACCATACAAACCACCACCTGCCCCACCGACACGCAACGAAGGAGCCATTTTGGTTTGAACCAGTTAGCTTGTCGACGTGCGTTTCACACGTTCACACAAAACGAATATTGGTCTGCTGTAGAAACAAAACAAAAAAAAAAAAAGGGGGGGAAAGGCTGGCTGCAACGGCTCCATGGCGCACCGCAATGTGAAATTATTCATTTGCTGTCAGAGCCGTGGCGCTTTTCCTCTGAACATAAATGGCTCCGGGTCGTACGCATGTTTTGATTGCACAGTGATTGCAGCTGCAAACATATACGAGCCATAGGAGGAGACGGGCGTGAGAGAAAGGGCCTTTTAGCAGCCCCCCTGGAGAACATACCATGCATTGGAGGAAGCTATAGGAAAACTTATAGAAATGCTTTGCGCAACTCTATTAGCTTTGCATTCCTTTTCGATCAATAAGTGAGAGAGATAATGGCCCTTGTTGAGACGCGCTTCCCACCTCCCTACCATTTCCCCAAACCCCCGATTCAGCCTTTGCATTCGCTCTGAGGGCCAAAAGCATCTCTGCATGCCTTCTCCATCTTCACTAGAGGCCGTCATTAGCAGTGCTGGAAGCCCAGCGGGTTCAAAGGGGCGAGGCAGGGGAAAACAGGAGAAGATATTTTTGGGAAACATCTGGCGGAGCCAGTGGCTGCTGATGTGTTCACCGTGTCTCTCCGGGCCCCGCTGCTAACAGCCGATCCTCTAGGTAGGACCCCCCCCGGCCTCCAACCGAGTGGAGGGAATCCACTCGCTGACTCAATTATGCAAAAGGTGTGAATTAAACATGAAACTAGCATACGGGAATGTAAACACATAATGCAGATGTGCCCACGTTTTACGATATGTATTCAAACCGTATAGCGACCTCGTCCCCATGCTGATGCCAGCTCGTTTTGCTGTAAAATGATCTCTGAAGATGACAGTATAGTATTATAGTATTGCTGGTAAGAATGACGATGAAAATAAAAAGGTACGATGAGCAATTTTACCATAGTTGCCACCTATTTCTTCCTTGCGAGCTTTAAAGAGCAAAAACAGCCTAGCGTGGGAGTCCAGCCGTGAGCCAAAAGCAAGCCGGATTTTTTTTTAGTTTTTTTTATCCCCGGCTCTCTTTCCCACCGTTTCTTTGTGTCTCTCTCTCTCCGCGACGTGCACTCTCATTCCTCCGTGCCCTTTATTAATCATCTTTGGTTTGTGGGCCAGAGAGCATGGTGTTCGGAGCTCTGGGGATTTTTTTGGAGCCGCGAAGGGAACACATACACAGGCACCTTTCATATACTATATAGGACTTGGCCTTAAAACTAAGCAAACGTTTTTTTTCCCTGTTTGCTTGTGAGAAACCCAACAAATAAATCAATCAATCAATCAATAAATCAATCATCAGAAGGCCCCCCGGGTATGCATGTGCTGTTGATAACGGTGGATCAGATACAGCGTTTTGTTAAGTCATACCATATCTGGCCTGCAGTCAGACCTCAGTCTACCCCCCCCCACACACACACACACACACACACTTTCATAAACACTGTACATCCAACCAGCCCGTGAGGATCCCTGTGTTGGGTCCATCAGCACCATCATCATCACACATTTGCAGTAGATTTCAAAGCGCTGGAATGTGGGAGGACTCATTGGGGGGGGGGGGGTGTAGGGTAATATGCATCTGTGGCCACGGGGCAGCCGCCTGAATAATGGAAGGGATGAAATTGGCCCTTATTTCTATCTATGTATGTAAGTGCACTTAACTCTTGATGGCTCCGACTGGGCTACACGCCATTATTATCATTATCACTATTCGATCTCCCAGAGGAAGTGCTGAGAGAATTAGTCGATTAGATTTCATGGGGTAGAGGGGGGGTCGTGAAAAAGTCTGGAATATTATTTAGGTTTGTGAGGAGGGGGCCGTGGGTGGTCACAGCAAGATTCACTCAATTCCACTGTTTTTTGGGTTATTTTTGGGGGGTTCTGTTGTTTTGTTTTTAAGTATAGAGTTCAACAACCCCAACACCCCCAAAGTAAAATGAGTTCTTGCATTTTTTGGAGGGCTGGGTGTGTTGTACTGTTTCCAAACTGACAGTAACAGGTACCTGCGTTCTTGGGGTTTCAGTTTTTGAAGAAACCCGCTTATGAAAAAGGCTCAGGTTGAGGTTGGGGTTGGGGTTGGGGGGTGTGGGGGGGGGTTGGTGGGACGCACCTGGTTTGACGGTCTTCAGGCGGATCGGCTCCCGAAAGTGGCGGATGACGGCCAGGGTGTCGCGGTTTGTAAGTCCACTGACCGGGGTCCCGTTCACCTCCAGCAGCACGTCCCCGTAGTAGGGCAGCTTCCCGACGTGGCACAGCAGCACGTCCAGCTTCATCTGGCCCAGGTAGGGGAACTGACCCACCTCCGCGCCCCCCAGGACCTCCACCACCAGGCCGAAGTCCCCCAGGTTCCCCCACGACACCACGCACTCCACCACTTTGGATGACCAGTGTTTCTTCTTCTTCAGCGTCCTGGACATTGTTGCTCTATCTCTCTCTCTCTATTCAAAAATACGCAATCTGGCTGACGGGATTCGCCTCGGGTTTTTTTTAGTGGAGTTAGAAAAGCAAAAGGTGACGCGGCCCGACGAACCCCCGGGAGTTGTTCTCTCCCCCCGCAGGAGATTTCATCCTCTCGACACGGAGATGTTGCCGGTCCGACGCGCGCCTTTGGAGCTCCCCCCGTGTGCGCGCAGGCAACGATTTCAAGCGCCCTCCCGCGCGTAAAAAGGCAGGAGAAAACGCACACAGCGTCGAGGCGGCCACAGCTTGGACACACAAACGCGCACACACGAGATTCCGCGCTCTCCGTGGCACTTTTAAATCGATTTTAACCCGAAGAGTCGCCCGTATTTGCCCACTCACTCACTCACTCACTCGCAGGGGAAAGATCGTGGAAACCGTCTGACGGATGAAGCGTCACGCGTCTGGGAGAAATCCCCGCATCTGTGGGCTGGCTCCAAAAAAATAGACGGGCGGTAGTAGGCTGTATTTGCGCAACCGAGATCCAAACACCCCCCCTCCACCCCCTCCTGCCGAGGCTGGGAAAAGAGAGAGAGAGACGTCCGCGGGAGTGCGTCTGCTACAGGTTTGAACACACCTGGTACCGCCAAGAGAGACGTCGCCCAGCTCCTGGAACGCCCCCCCCCCCCTTTAAAAAAGGAGCAGCTGATCCAGAGTCAGACGCCACCACGCTGGCTCCATCCTCTGGTGCGTTCAGGTACTGGATGGAGAGGAAACACGCACTTTACAGACGCTTTATGTAATCGGTCCAACAGCACTCAGATCTTGGCCGCGGTCTAAATTAATTAATGAGATGTATGCATAATCTTTTTTTTTTTGTGTGTGTGTGTTTGGCTGTATCCAAAGGACCAGCCATGCATATTAGACTAAATGAGCTTATATATGAAGACATAAGATTATTTAAAAACGTACACTGGCCTGATATCCGAATATCAGGCGTGTATGTCCAATCACACATAATTAAAAACCCCACAGCGGTGAAAGAAAGAGAAAAAAAACCCAGGGTTGTTCTTATTAAGGGATTTCCGGGTGACCATGGAATGTCTACACAGCGCCACCTACTGATGGAAGTAGGGAGTTACTAAGTCTTGCACACCCATTCGATAACGTTTAAGTCAGGGTAATTACTCTGGACATCCTTATACATCTATGTTTGTAAAAACATAAACAAACTCTTGGAAGGCGTCGTTTTTTTGTGCTTTCTCTTTGAAGGGTACCAGCAAATTATTAGTGGGATGAAATGCCTTCAGAATATTAAGCGTCTGAACCAATTTTGAAGGAAAAATGTGTTTTATTTTTTATTGCCTGTCATTACAGGTCTTGAATGTAATAAGAATAACAAGTCTAAATCATGAGAACGAGCTCTAGATGCCTCTGACCGTACATCAGGTGACATCAGCTCTATTTTTACTCTGTATAAATTGTCTTTTCTACGACCCATTTGGGAAGCACTTACCAAAGTATGTCAATAAAAATGGGCACCACGGACGGTTGTGGGAGTACACCTGTTTTATTTTTATCCTCACACCTGTAGAGGCTTTAAGCGGCCTCCTTAAAAAGCCTTGGATAATAGCGTGGCTGTAATATGCTGACCTTTCATTTATAGGGAAACTCCCTCCCACATGCTGAGCTGCTGCCTGGGAGAACAGGTTTAGGTTTTTGATGTGCAGCTATTACTGCGGGTATCAAGAAATGACGACTATTTTAATAGTATTTTAGCATGATTCATCAGAAATTATGGAGGTTAATAGAGGTTCATTAAGATGATCTTACCTGAGGGGAAACGTTCTGCCATGAACGAAGACATCTGCTTGTCCCAAAACCTCCAAAGTGTGACATCGTGGCTTTGGAGAGTCTGGACGTGTCGGCTCACAGCTCGTCATGTGACAGGAGTTAATGAACTTTATTGCTGGAATCCAGAGACAGGCTCTCTGTAACGCTTTTGAAGCTTTAGTTCACCGACCTTAAAGTCACCAGTGACTCAAACCCAATATTTTTAAAGGCTGAAGCATCGTCAGATGCGACTTATACCCCGCGTGCAATTCTGAAATTCTCTTGGATTCGTGCAGGAGGGTGCAAAGCGAGGTGTTTTGTCTTGATGTCAACACTGATGATGGACTAGTATTTTTTTGTTGCCTACATTAGCTGGATTTGTGCTGGCCTGACCCGACTAAATCCAGATTATAGTTGGTGTGGCATTTAAAAATGATTTTAGTGTGCCCAGAAATAATGTTTTTGTTAAGACGACTATGTTTATTTATGACCTAAAACCCAATCCTGCACGCACAGGTTTTGGGGTTTGGATATATGCCACCAGAAACATTTATCAGTTTAGATAAATTACTTACATTAACGAGCAACTCGAGTGGAGACATTTTGTTTGTTTTTGTTTGAAATTGGGGAAAATCCTTGTCAAATAAGCATAATATATTTTTATATGTCAGGTAAATAAAGCAATCTGAATAAATATGAAGGCAAAATGACAGAAATGGTCAACGCTAAAATATTGTGTAGTCTACAGTGTGGAGACAGCCAGTCAAGATTCAAGGCAAATTATGAGAACATGTTTAATATTAAGAGTAATAGCTATGTAACAAAAAGGCTCTTTAGACATGCTTTACAGAATGTACAAGTAAACAAGGTCCAAAATACAACAAAAAAAAACAAAAAAAGTTATAGATTTTGACAATACAAAAACAGCAGCAATAGATATTGCCAGAGGACTTACTGCCAAACTTTGGTATAAAGTCATAAAATGCACGAAACGTGTTAGGCTGTGTCGGTGAAAACATCAGAACACAGAATCAATGTTTGCCCACGGGACATGTGGATACACAGTTCCATTAGGAGGACATGTACCTGAATGTTTTCAACTCATAATTCTGCATCACGACTGAGGGGCGTGAAATCTGCTTTGGCCAGCTGTTAGAACAAGAAACAGAAAAAAAAAAAAAAACTTTGACTGGAACTCAAACAGTGAGAAAGAATACAGAGGGACTAGACAACACTCTTGCTTTAGTTGTCAACAGCAAAGAAAAACATCTTGGTTATCTCTTTTGTCACCAACACCCAGCTCGGAGGAACAGGCTCAGAATGTGCTATGAGACTGTTGTCAAACTTTAAAAACAAGCTGAAACGAAAAGGAGTGCAGGAGCACCGGAAGTGTTCCAAGGCCGCTCTGCTCAAAGGCCGGGAAGTGGAGCTCTTTTGGTCGCGTTGTGTTTCGTGACGTTACTTAGAAAATTTAACATCACCTTAAAACCCTGTGAGGATCAACCTTTCAGCATTACCGTTTTTAGTCTGGCTGGGACCAGTCAAGCCGTGAAGCCATGATGAATGTTTCCGCAAAGGAGATGGGGACAAACACTGCCCTCACAGAATTATTTGACAGTGGACATCGCATTATAAGAAATGACCACAAACACGGACTCGGACGGTTATCTGGGTACACCGGCTAAAGCTAAAGCAGTCAAATGCAACACGTCTGGAACACAATGCAGCTTCCAATCTCCAGCTTCAGCTGAAACAGGGGAAAACAACCCAAAAAAAACAGGAGGTGACATTTAATGAGAAGTGAATTGGAGGTACTGTTGAAATCGTCTGCATCGTGAAGTGGTGAAATGAGTGGGGGGGAACTAGCACTGCTTAAATGGCGCCTCGACACATTGCCGACAGACTCGATAAAAACCAAAAAAAGGATAAAAGGGTTAGGTTCCAGCTGCAGAGTGGGGTGTTCATTTGTAGGCAGGCTTACATAATACAGAGGCCTTTTTTTTTTTAAATCGCAAATCGAAGAGCAAACATGGGAGTCAGACACTCTGAAGTGCAATTATCAAGAGGATATCTCAGGACAACTCATGAGAGCAGAATTTTACATAAAAAAAAAAAAAAAAGCAATTTCCATTTTCAGAACAACACAATAACTGACATTTGTAAACGGTGCTGTGCAGCGGCTGGATTAGTGTTGGTGGGAACAGTAAGACCCAGATATAAAGAAGACGTTATTACCGTTACCGAAACCTACACGTTAAACTTTGTGGGTAATGCTGGGACAGTGTGGGCTTGAAACTAATAAACTGGATGTTTGTTTTTTTTCCTTTTTTTAAGCTGATGCGGCTTAGACCTCAAATGTACCAGTAGAGCTTCAAATTCAATAGATAATAACATTATGTACACATACATACACATCAAATTATACAATACATTCTCATTTTTCACAGTCCAAATGAAAACCTAAAAATAATGGAAGGATTGCTGCCTGTAAAGTTAATCTTTACAGCGGGGGGAAGAAATAAACAGCATGTAAACTGCATAATTAAGTTAGTCACTGTTAAGTGCCAGTAACACGGAGGGAAAGGGCTAACAAATCAGTGCATACTGTATCAAGAGGAAAGAAAAAGAAAAAATTCGATATCACATAGTCACCTGATCACGGTTTCTGAGAATGCTGGGAAAAAAAAGGCCATCAACTGGACAACCGTCGGAAAATAACCAGCAAAACTGTGATTGTCTCATGTGCAAAGGAGAGAGAGATAAAAAAAAAAGAAAAAAAAGTACACTTTCTTCCCAAACTGCTCATTATTATAAAAGACATAAAATCATAAAATGAACAATTATGCTTTATATGGAACGAAAAAGGAAAACCGAATAGACAATATATGATATATTCGTACACATTTTTGTATATATATATATGTATTTCCATAATACACACCACATTTTGGTGTCACTGTCTCTGGGATCTGCATAAAGTCTGTCATCATGGCTGTGGAAGGTGAGCCTTCATGGATCTTTTCAACACCATCAACCAAAAACTGCTGGTCGGGGAGCTTAATTTGTCCCTTGTTCAACCTCCCTTGCCCCCCCCTATTTGAGCAGAGGTGCTTAGTGCTTTTTCTTTAAAGTCACGCAGGCTGCTCCGACATGTGTCTGCATTACAGGAATCTAGAGACGAGCTTTTGGAAAGGCGGCCGTGTCTCTCATGACAGCGTCTGACATGGCTATTTGAAGCATACATTCATCGTTTTCTCTCGTAAGAGACCAAAGAAGAAGGGGAAAGAAGGGGTCCCCCCCCCGGAGAATGGGGGCGGGGGGTGGGATGGAGGCCACTTTAATCATGGGCTAAATTATCCAGATGGACACAGCCGTGGATCCACAGCTGGGGTTAGCATGTCCTCTTGCTCTTGAGCGGAAAGGGGAATGTAAACATACAAGAGAGCATCTTTGGCAGAATGTGAGGTGTTTGTTTGGAGGTAGTGGGTGAGGGGTGGCGGCGGGCACAGGGGAGTAGGCGCAGCAACAATCAGAGGCAGGAAGTGAGTGTAAAGACCTTATGTGGGAGCCAGATGCTCGTGTGTGGTAGTCCTGCAAGAGGCACTTCTGTGGTCCTGGGAGCTCTGGCCTGGGAAATAGCTAGCGTCCGTTTCGCTGTGTTCTGCGGCCCCATCAGCAGCACAGGGAGGAGGAGGGGTCCGGTGTACGCTCGCCGACAGGTGGGACGCTCCGGACTGGAGTATGGAGGACGGATCTTCTCTCCAGAACGATGTGCTGAGGGAGCCTGCGAAAGAAAAGACAGATATTTGTCTTTTTCAGAGACCTGAGGGAAAAAATAAACTTACTACAGTCATTATCCGTCTATATTATTATTTTTATTTGTTTCAAGATTCTGTCTTTTGCCAAAACATGTCTCATATAGGAGTTATGTGCTGTTTCTGTACATCTCCAATAAATGTAACCTCGTGGGTTCATCAGTTCACTGAACAGTCTAATTCACAGATTTTATTCATATATACGGTTCGATGACTGGCGTTTTTCTTTTTTTCCCAAATACTGCCTTTGGGATCTTTCAGTTATTTTTCCATTTCACTTAATCTTGGAGACATTTTAGCTTGTGCAGGCAGAAAAATGTAGGACAGGTGAGCATAGTAAGATGCGTACAAAAATGAAACAGACATAAAAGTTGATGCGGAGTGAAGATGTAACTCATTCTCTGACAGCCCCTCAGTGGGGGACAAACTGCACTTTGATCCCGACATCTTTCTAACAGAGGTTTTGTTTGAATGTCTCACCATTAACATAGAGCTCTGGAGAAGTGTAGTTGTTTATCCTTTTATCATGGGAGGTGCCTATAAAGCTCCCCAAAGCTGCGTCTTCAGCCTGAGCGTGCTCACTTATGACCTCCTTTAGGCCTGGCAGGGTCCTATCCAGGGCATCATCCTCCACCTGATAGGCATAGGGACAGTAGTCCCTTGTACGACTGTAGATGTTGGCATTATCATAGCAGTCGGAGCAGATTACCAGCTGGCCTCCGGCACCTAGAAGCAAACATCAAACACATTTAAAAATGTTGTTCCGGAAAGTTTATCTTGTAAGCATTTCACAGATTGAGGGGGGGGAAGTATTTAGACACTTAGGTTCACAATCATTTGATTACTGATGAACCTTCTCACAAGTATTAACTATATTTTATAAAAAAAACAAAAAAAAACAAGAATTCTTTATGCTCACACTTTTCATTTGAAAAACATCCCACTGTGCTCACATCTGAACATTAAACAGACAAACTGAAAAGGCACATCTTCCCAAATCCATCAAATAAAAACTGAGACTCAATTAAAAATGGCCTCATGATGAAAGCTGACTGGAATGAGATGCGGAAAAAAGTAGGTACACCATTCCTGATCATTATCTACACCAAACTGATGCACTAAACAAAGACCGTAGTCTATATTTCATTACATATGCAAGTGCAGCTTAAACCGGCCAACTAAAATACTGAAAATACAGATACAATTTTTTTTTTTTTTTAAACTTGGCTAACCTCCAAGTCCGTCACGAGACTCCCCAGGATGGAAGCTGCTGTGTCCAGTGAAGAGAGAGCCCATCCTGCAGTGCAGCATGCCGTTCCCTTCGGTTTCCACCTCACTGCACGTGTCTCCATAACATACACCTGAGACAAAAATGATAATTGGTTACCGCTTCATTTCTCAGGGACGTTATCTGAAACACAAAGACAGAAACTAGAGCCTAATGGGTATGGGAGTGCCTCAAGCCTTTAAGTCTAGAGGCTTTATGCTGATTTTGTAAAAAAGCTGCATTTTATACAAAATTAATGCTCTGTTTGTTTGTATCGCCAGCTGTGATTTCTATCGGAATGCTGGGGGAAATGCATCCTGGCACGTTTGATTTCTAGTATTGCATGTCTAGTCTTGTATTCTTTGTGATGTCCCAACACAAGCTTTGTTTGCTTATAAATATAATCCGCTACCCAAAAACTAGATAAATAAAATAAAGTAATGTTTAATGTTAAAACATTGTCTGACCTAATAGGAAGTCTCCAATCACTAACAAGACATACTGTCAAATGTGGGTTCCTGAATATCATTCTTTCATCAATCTACAAAGGAACTACAACAACTTCTGAGGGGGTTTGCAACTGCTGGAGGCGCGGCTGTTTTTTGCAGACAGGTCACAGAAGCATGGCGTTGAATGACTTTCAGAGGGAATATTATAAGAGCTGTGGATATTTATATAAAATTGTATTGCTGTGCCCCATTTGTGGATATGACGATGATTTGAAAACAGAATTCATAGAAACAAAGCAAATAATTAAACAGAACCAACTATACATTACATTTAGTATATTAAGGGTTTATGTCATTAGAACTCAAGACGGAGCACCTACCATCTGTGCCTTTATGGATGTATCCGTTGGAAAGGGGAGGCATGAGCTGCTGGTGGCTGCCAGCCTCAGAGTTACTGTAGCCTTCCTGAGGCTCTGACAAGGTGCCCTGAGAGGACAGGTAGCTGGGGATATCTGCTGGCAAATTGATCTCGTCTGTAACGGAGACATGCATTCGGTAAGATGGTGCTCATTTCTGTTATACAAACAAATAAGTTCCGTCTGCCTAAAATTCATATGGCTGCTGTATCCAAATGACTAACCGGTGTTGGTGATGCTGTAGTCCTCACTCTTCCTGCGCATGTGATAGATGACAATGACCCACACCAGAGAGGTTCCGACTACACAGCACACCACCACAATCACCACTATGCCGACAGTGGCCCATCCATCCTGGTCGTAGCCTGTGCTGGTATCGCATTTGGACTGTGAAACGCTGAGGTAGATGTGGCCGCGCTTGGTGCCCAGAGTATTAGACATGATGCAGGTGTATTTCCCAGCATCGGCTGCTCCGGCGTCCACGATGATGAGGAGTTGGTTGGCGGCTGCGAAAAAGTGGCGTTCTGTGAGCACCAGGGGCCCGTCGTCTTTGGTCCAGTTCAGGCGCGGAGCGGGGCTGCCGCCGGCTATACACTGAAGCACGGCCGTTTCCCCGTCGGCCACCGTCCGGTCCTCCAGCTCCCGCATGAAGGACGGCGTTTCTGGAAAACAACAGGATTTACACAGTCAGTTCAGATGGATAGCTGCGAAGAGAGCTTTCCCTTCTGTTTTTTAATGAACATTTGGGGCTCTCTCAGAGGCACCACTTTATTTGAGCCATTGTTCATCTATGTACATGAGAAGTTCAATTGGATTTTCACAAGCACATTCATTAAGAGTTTGAACGGCCGTGTCGGAGATGCTGCAGCCAGCAGGACTTCAATATTTTAAATAGGCATGGTGTAATGAGGTTTGCTTTAATATCATCATTAGTTAAAACTGACTGGGTGGAAACACATAAATAAGAGCTTCTAATGACTAATAAACAAAAATGAGTGCCCAATTTGAGCAGTGTGACTCAGCCGAAATGACCCAGAAGGAAAAAGGAAGACCAGTAATACATTCTGCTAATCAGGAGGCTGACTCACCGAGGACAGTGAGAGTTGCGTTTGCCGACAGGCTGCCGGCTGCATTTTGAGCCGTACAGCTGTACACTCCCATGTCTTCGGTCTTAACGTGGGAGATGAAGAATATGTCATCATCCGGCATCACGTGCATTCGGCGTTCTCGGGCTGCGGGGAAGTCGGTGCCTCCATCCTTCTGCCAAGCGATCTGGGGGGATGGATGGCCCTCAGCGGCGCACTCCAACCTGGCCATTGTCCCAGCGCGGATTGTTAGATCCATCGGAGTCTTTAGGAAGGAGGGCAGCTCTGAAAGACAGAGAGCAGGGGGAAAGGCAGGGTTTGGGTTACTACCTAAAAGAAGAATGGCTCATGAGGAGCAGATAAGCCCGAGTGGCCTTGATTAACAACACTTTGATCGAGAGTGAACCATCCTTACCGTTGACAGTAAGCGTTGCTCTGCGAGAGTAGTTAGAACCAAAGTGATTGGAGACCACACACTGGTAACGGCCCTCGTCAGTGAAGTTAACATTAAGCAGGTGGAGCACGGTAGTATAAATGAGCTCTCCCTCCTGGTAGCGGGCGTAGTTCTGGACTTCTGCGTCATGCAGCACCTCGCCGTCCTTCCGCCATGCCGTGCTCATCGGCGAGTCGCTGCTGCTGGATGCAATGCAACTGAGAGTCACGTTGTTTCCCCGTAGTGCCACGGACGTCTCTGGGTGACTTGTGATCTGAGGTTTGGGGAAATCATCTGTGCAAAAGGAAGATGGAAAATAACAGACTGAGAATTCTTCTGTGTTGAACAATTCATGCAGTTCTCTTAGATGTGAGCCTGTGGGCCGGGTTTCCACCTGACAAGTTAAAAAGGCCTCGGGATATTTTACCAGAGAATAAGACATGGTCTCTTACAAACAGAATAATCAGAGGATCTAAGGAATTTCTTAAAGTGGGGGAAAAAAAAAAATTTTTCGGGGAAAAAAAAAAAAAAGACTGACCACAAACAAACTCCTCTGGGCTGATAGACAGGACGCTGCGACCAAGCAGATTGGCTGGATGGGCACAGATAGCTGAGACAGACAGCTGGAACTGGGTCTCCATCAACCAGGGACCCAACCACTGCATATGACAGTCACACAGCAGACTGCTTGTGTTCAGAACACTGAGAACAGACAAATGAAACAAGGAATGTGACACGTCTGGAAAAGACAAAACATCACACAGACATTTACAACAATACATCTATAATGTGAACGCCCCAACCCAGGCAGGACTACGATTTCAGGGTTTCAGAAAACAACACTTAACATACTTCTATGGGATTGAATTCATGCAAAATTAAATGAAACGTCCAACTATCTATCCAGCCCCCACCCCCTCCCCATGATGGAGATCCGTGTCACTCAGCTGCCTTGTAAAACTTGTGGAGAGCAGTCAATAGAATAATTGACGGTGGGAGGCTCTGAGAAAACACAGAGATCTTTTCAGAATTAACAAGTGTGGCCAAACAAGCTCATCTTCAATCAGCAAAGAAAGAAAAACATGCTTTGTAGATGGAATTCATGCATACAAATATCTGACATTGGATCTCAGAGTCTAATTATTTCCCCAATGTCTACTCACAATTTTGTAAATTGTGTTCACAGACTTCCAAAATGCTTCAATTATTCAATGAATAAGGTATTGCATGAGGCTTGTGCAAAAACCTCTGCTGCTGCAGAGATGTCAGTATTACACATACAGGCAGGGGACTCTCTGCAATCAGTGGTCTGTTGTAATTTCACTGTCACCATGAAAAGAATGTCAAAAATTTATATTGGGCACCACACACGGTGCGTCTTTCAGGTGGATAAACCTTCATATGCGTTTATAATGGTATAATCAACCACTTTCAGCCATACGAAGGAAAACACAATACTGATAAATAAACAGGAAGAGCTCTCAGAATAACGTCATGGTCTTGTATTCGTTTATACAGAACCGCCAACTGATACACTCTTAATCTTCGCTTCACTTAATTTGTCTTTGCCTTTTGATCTTTTCACTCAAGTTCAAGGAAGCTGCTCAGTTACCAACATGTAAATTAGACTGTTGTCATGACACATTTTAGGAGTCTGACAGAGGCCAGGTTGACTTCATCAGCCCCTGATCAAGACACTCCCAAAACAGGCTGATCAAACCCTAAAAAAAGCAAGAGAGGTAACATTTGCACTGCCTTTGCTCATATGCAGGAAGCTCTCCAAATTAACTGAGTATTGCTGGGACTAAAAATTTAAGGAGAAGTCTGAAGTAAAAACATGCACTTCACTGACACCATCTGACTCAACGATTACACATATCTCTGACATCGCCACACAGAGTGAAAAATGGCAGCAGCAGAGGTCAAACAGCATCAGCCAGTCCACAACATATATCTCCTGTGACTACGCAAAGCAACTGAAAACTCTAATAATCTAAATTGAAGAACTTCTTTAACACAATCCATTTTCAATGAGAACAACAGAAACAAAACCATGTAAAAATAAAAACAAAAGACCACTTTCACGTGAGCTTGTGAGAACTATGAGAATCGTTTAGGGTTTACTCACAATACTTTCAGCTTCATATGGGACAACGCCTCTGGGTGTAAGGACATAATGTCATTCTTGCTTAGGTCCCTACAGACATGACAGAAAAATGGATTACAATCTTTTTAATCAAAACTCATTTCACAAACATGAGGCAACATCAGGACATCCTTAATTTCAGTTCAGCGTTAATCATTAAAAGATCAACAATAAATCCTCCACAGAGATACAAACATGATGGAAAGAGAAGAGGGAATCTCCAGTGGTTTAACTCACAGATTCTCCAGCTCCTCTAAGCCTTCAAATGCCTTCTTGGTGATTGATTTGATTTTGTTCTGTTGTAGAATTCTGGAACAGAAAAATCATTTCGAATCATACTTCACGTTGCGTTTTGTAACACACTGGAAATAAGATGAAATGTATCTGAATGTTACTAAGTAAAAAGACATGATTAAATATGTGAAACCCTGATACGTGTGTAGGATGCACTGTGGGTCTACTCACAGCGTGCTCAGCTTCTTCATTCCATCAAACACACCAATGGAGTCTTCAATAGCCCAGGAGATTTCATTGTAGCGGATATCTCTGAAAAACAAGAACACTCAGACATCAAACAGAGTATATACAAACATATACAGTCTTGCAAAGACAACAGGGATGTCACTTGTGCTCTATGTTGAAGCTCTGTGCCCCTGCTTTTGGAACGAGGTGAAATAATTGGCTCTGTTTATCACTGAGACGGTTCATAGGTCCACTGCAAACCCAAAGAGGTCTTGTGTTTACAGAGTGGGTCATGGGCTCTTTTGTTCCTCTTTCCTCATGCCTGACCACCTCTCAAAGAGATCCAGCACTCTCAGATGCCCCTCTCCCATGAATGTTCACAGGATGGTAAAAATCCCTAAATGTGACCCCTTTTCTCCCAGTTCTGAGAAAGGCACTGAACTGCATAGTAAATACTGAATTGAAAACTTTGCACTAAACATATATAACTTGTTAGATGCAGAATAAAAGGTTTGCTTAGTCGAGGTGATGTCCTTACCAATTACCTTGAGTTACAAAACATTTTTGCAACCTTAATGTTGTTAAAATTGTAATCTGCTGCCCTAATCTAAAAGCAACAGATCCCAATAACTTTGCTTCAAGATCAGCTACAGTGTGGAAAACCTCACATTCCATATAAATGACACGTACACACAGTTCCCACACACAGCATCTCAAATGTTCCATTAGTGAGGCTGATCTTGACTGCATATGCAGTCTTAATCCATCAAAGCCATTTAGGAAACACCCACATTCATTAAATGTTAATCAATGCTAATCATTAAAATCACCTCTCTAGGCTGTCAAAAACACTTACACTCTTTTTTCCACATCAAGCCCAAAGAGCATACCACCATGACACTAGGTCTATGGTTAGCACACGACACAGACTAAATCAGAGTCTACCTAATTCCCATCTTTGCCATTTGCTTCAACCTACTTGGAGCATGCTGCACAATTTCTTTCAAGACAGGACAAGAACGGCACATGAAGAATGAAACAAACAGACCAACTATCATCAGGAGTCTTTATGAGAAAGCACAGAGCCAGGAACAAGCCAGCACTGGATTATATTTAGCATGCCAAGCTTAATTAGATTTCTTCAAACAAATGTTCATCACATATTTCTGACAGATCTCTGTGGGGCATAACACTTACAGGGTGCGCAGACTTGCCAGGCCGCTGAAAACTCCCTCTCCCAAATGGCTGATGGAGTTTTCTCCCAGGTTGAGGCTCTCCAGGAGACCTAATCCAATGAAAGCTGTCTCCTCAAGTCTAGTCAGATGATTGTAGGACAAGTCTCTACACAGAAAAAACAGCAAACATTGAAAGATATTAACCTAAACTCCATCATTCTTGTTCAACGTGAATCATTTATGGTTATGTATCTTTGCATGCATGTCAGATGCTAAGAAATATGACATTTCATCAAAAACGATCATTTGTAGTCAAGCCACATCAGCCAAACAGAGCAGCAGCAGGATGGTGGCCGAGTAATGAGAGCGTCTTAAGCTACATGACACTGGAAAAGAAAGAAAAAACAACAACTCACAGTTCCTCTAGCTTTTGGCAAAACTCCCAGGCGTCTGGTCGGATGACACCTATAGCATTCTGGCTTAATCGCAGGATACGCAGCATGAGCAGGCCATACAACCATCCTTTGTTGACTTCGGTCAGGTTGTTGTGCTCCAACTCTCTGCAAAGGAAGATTTAATAGTAATTTTAAAAAGTCATTACAAAGTTTTTACAAAGAATCTTTGTTGACAAACAGTGTGTGATGAAAAGTTTTTTTCCCTGTGGCGTTCGAGAGCAACTCTCAAAGTGTGGACAATACGCTGCTGAATCTGACTTTAAAAAGACAGGCTTGCAACACTGCACTCACAGCTCTTCAATGTTGTTCAGTCCAAAAAAGGCTCCGTCCATGAGCTTGGTGATGCCATTCCTCTGCATCTTCAGAGTCTTTAGTGAATCCATCCCATTGAATGTCAGGCTGTCCACTATCTTGATCTTATTGCGTTTCATTTCACTATAGAAAGAAAAACATACTTTTTTCTTACAACTGGTATGACAAACTACAAGAACTTCAAGCTCGATTTCACCAACATGGACTGAGTTTTGCACTTCAAAACACTTGTCATGATACTTACAGGATCTGAAGCTGTGGAAGTTTGAAGACTTTGGGTGGCAGCACTACTAATCTGTTACGGTTCAGCCTCAGCACCAGCAGGGAGCTGGAAATGTTTTCAAAGCAGCCGGGCTCCAGGATGCTGATCTTATTGTTACTTAAATTCCTATAAGATGGAAAGAAATACAAGAGCAGACACATTAGGGCCACAATTTAGGGGGAGGGAGAGATGTTTGCTCATTTTGTAGACAAAAATATTCACAACAGTGGTTATTCTAAAAAGGAGTACAATTGTACCATGCCGCCACATCACAACAAACAGGACAAAACTAAACATCAAAGGAGGTACAGACAAAGATTAATCTGACAAAATGCGTGTGGTACTGATTATCTGACACTTTTAAGTAGGCGAGTAATTATGAGGCATGTATAAAGCATGGAATGTAATATAATCACAAGGAATTAAATTGGTAAACGAGAGTTGTTTTATTTATTAGTCATCATAAAGAGCATGACAGTTATAACAGTTACTTAAAAGTTTATTTGTATTATATTTTGTAAGCATTCTTGTTTTACTGTATTTCAAACCTGTGCCATTAAAGTGTCCTCAAAAATTGCCACGCAACTTAATAACATGAAAAAAATATAAATAACCAGGATGGAAAATAATATAATCACAAGGAATTAAATGACGCAAGATTACTCACAGATATTTTAGCTGCATGGATGGGAAGGATCCGACATTGAGCTCAGAGATGGAGTTAGATGTCAGGTCCAGCGTCTCCAGGGAAACATATGGTTGCAGCTGATGCATCAACAGCTCAGAGATCCGGTTGTGGACTCTGGATGACATCAAATATAGTCAGACATTTGTTTCATAACAACCATTTTCCCTGGCTGTTTTTGAAAATGTTCTGGTCGAATCAACATATAGCAGGACCAGATAAGTGGATGAGTAAGAAAATAACGTTACTAATAGTCAAGGACTACATGGAACATAATAAATGTAAATGATAAATGTATCCAAAGGTTATTCTGAGTGTTAGTTTCATTTGTTGCAGGACAGGCAAGTAAAAACCTTAAGATGATGCTTACAATGAGAGCGAGGTAATGTTCGAGGAAACATCTCCGAAAGATGGAAACACAGTCAGCTCATTGTGGTTCATGGTGCTGAAATTAAATTAAACACAGCATCAATATCTTATATATCTTATATCTTCCATGGTAAACTTATGTCAAGATAACTGCAAAACTAACTATCCCTTTTAAACAGGTTTGAACAGAAATGATTTCTTCAAAAACAAAAGACGGACTCAGAACAAAGTTAAGCAAGAACATCACAACCCGACAAATCTACTTGGGGGCGTAGAGCTCAAACTAAAAACCACCGACTAATCTAAATAATAATATAATGACGCTACTGTATAATGTTCTTGAAAAAGATCATGAGTAACACTAGGCCCCTTTGGACGGGTTTGATGGTTTCGTAATTTCCAGTAAACACACATCTCTTTGCATTCCATGAAAAAACGTTTAGACGAATTAGATTTAGTAGAAAATCCTATTCTATTCTATTAATCTGAAATACATAAATGCAATGTCTTAATATTCCGAACGTTCCAGTAATAAGCAGAGAGGATTGAGTCCAAGACTGACGGTGGAAACTTTCCAAACATTTGAGTACTTACACATCAGTTATTCCGTCGGGAGGGTTAAGGGTAGCGGTCGATAGCCTTTTCCTGTTGCAGTCCAAAATATGGACATCACCTTGTCCTTTTATGCACGAACACGCAGAAGGACAAGAGTCACTGGCCCAAGCACTCAAACTCAGCAGCATGACTACAAGAGCAGGAGGAATGGGCCAACCTTCCGCCATTTTAAATGTCCTCCTACTGAGGGATAGCTACGTGGCTAGCTAAACGCTCCACTGGTAGGTGAACAGTAAAAAAAAAACCTCCAAAGTATCCTTGGAATTCGATATCAGTCTAACGAACACATACTTAAGGCCCAAAGCCTTACGATTCCAGGTGGAGTAATAAAACCCAATGTTTTCCAAGTTGCTTAAGACATCCCAGCAGAGATTTCTCCCGTTCTTCCCAGTGCTTGGAATTCCTTCCGCTCCAATCAGGACACCCTCTCGGAGAGGCTAGCTAGCCTACCGTTGAGCTGATTTCACCATACAAACACATCACTTTTCAAAAGACAAGATCTGCTTTACAACGCGAGTTTTCAGCGTTTGGATGTCCTAAACTAAGCTAATCGCTAGGTCCACTTAAACCGGACTGTTTGAAGGAAATTAAAAACAATTCCCTCCGTGATTTGTCTCGCAAGAAAAACAAAGCGCCGTGAGTTGATGACATAGGATACCAGAGCTCCCGCCCCATTCCAGCATGTTTACAGCAATACTATTGGTCCATGTTTATGCCTGTCAACAGTTTACACAAATTCGATTGGGTAGCTGTCTGAACTTGTCTCTACAGTCCATGCTCGAGCAAGAAAAAAGTTTTTCAGAACTGTAAAGAATTTAATAGTCATTTGCATAATCTTGTGGATATAGTTTGCAATTCCCAGCATACAACCAGTTAAACCACTGTATTTCTGCAAACATTATTACATCAGTCAGCAGCAAAAACATTTGTAATATATTTATTGTGATAGATTTTGTATAATATGGTATGTTTGACTGCACAATACAAACAGATTTTGTTGGTATATGAGATAAACCCTACATTAAAGCCAAATAATTATTTACAGGGCTATTGTGTTATGATTTAAGTCAAGTATCAAAATGAAAAAAACAACTTATAATTGCATTGATAAATGTAAAAGTAAAAAGTATATCTATCTATCTATCTATCTATCTATCTATCTATCTATCTATCTATCTATCTATCTATCTATCTATCTATCTATCGCCACCGATGCTTGGAAGCAAAACTTTTTATCTCTTAAATAGATAGAGCTCTCATTCGGTCTCTTTGTAACTGAAAGTTTGATATGTTTTTGGAACCAGGTCATCCTGGTCAAAAGTCTCTGGGATTTACAACCAATCAGCAGCCACACGTTTACATGGACATACAACACAAAGACTTTTTTCTCGTTAGCTGCCAGTTACAATGGAGGTGTATACTTCTGAGGCCACATAGTCCCTCCTTTTCTCACACTACATGTTAAAACACATCCCAGGAAGAGGGAAGCCGCGGCTTCACGACGGCCGCCATAACTTTGATGCAGACCAACAACCGAACATGTTTCAAGTTACCCAGACCGTCTCGTCCCCAGAACTGCCCGCATTCTTACAAAAGAAGCGGATCGTGGCATCGACTTATCACCGGACCTGCCGTTTGGACACGACCACACCGCAGAGTCCGCTTCTTGTCATTGGCACCGCTCTGAAGGCGAACCTGCACAGGTAAGCGGAACATGTCCGTGATTGGTTGCGGGAAAAAAACTCAACACCAGCGCACCTTTCTGTACCTGCGCAGATGCGGTAGCACAAGGGAGAGGCCTTATCTCTTTCATATCCAGCTACCTATTTTTGCTTTGCATATTTTTTCTGCCGTAAATGAGCGGTCTGTCACTAGTTTGCATGGTTCAAGCCAAACCGAAACCGCAGAACACTGCAGGTACAGCCACTCTGGTTGTAGTGATATAATAATAAATTAAAAAACAAAAAACAAAAAAAAAACACGCCAAAACATTGTCCTGCAGGTCTGAATGAGCGTCGTTTGCCAGTGAGTGAGCGACGACTGAAGACCGGACAAGCGTTCAGACGAATTAGAGACAAAGGGAGGTAATTGGTGGACGGCTATGGGCCGGACAGAAGCTGACCAATCAGCGCTCTGGCCGGTCCTCCGCTGCTCAGACAATTATAAACTGCGAGGCTGGTGTGCGATTTCGTCCCCTGACAACCGAGCAGCCGCAAGGCGATATATCAGTTTGGGAGTCCCACACACGGTGGCAGGACCGCAGCCATGATTCACCCGCGGACTCTCCGAGTAGATTACGGCGTATCTACAAACGTAGTGTGCGTGGTCAACTCGGAACTGAACGTAAACCTGAGCAGGTAGGTAGGTGCTCTACCACCCAGCTCCGGACCTTCAGCTTGGTGGACTGAAAATAACATGCCAGACCAGTGATCTGGAATTCATTGTTTGGGGGATTTCCTCAGTGTACCTGGTGTCATTTAATGTTGATTCAGTTTTGTGGTCGTTTTGGTGGCATAATAATATACTATATATAATATATAAGTATTTGAAATATTCAATTTCCTAGAATTTTACAATTCAGTTTTATTATCTTAACCCCTTTAAAGCCTGAGCCAAGAATAAAACAAAACAGACCATTTTTTTTTTGGTTCGAATTCCTTATTTGGCCTTTTAACAAAATATGTCAAAAGAAAAAACAGAAATACATTTTTTATATTAATAATTTATTACTATGTGATAAGTCAAGAATATTTTCTGTGTAGTCTTCCACCCCCTGTTATCAGGTGTATCTGATTGTGTACAATAGGATTTTGAACAACGTTTTTACCTTTAAATTATGCAAAAAGTGTCGGACGCAAAACATTTCAGAAACTGTATGTATCAAATATGAAACAATTGGCATTATAGGGATAATAAGAATTATAAAAATCAATATGATTAAAATAATAGTTGATTAAACATTACAAATAGTCCTCATTGTCACATAGGAATTACTATGAGCTGTACGTGGCACAGGATGGAGCCGCGTTTGGTAGGACATCTCCCTGATCTTCCTCTCCACATGTAAAAGTCGACCTCATGGACAGGATTTCAACTAAAGCTGAGTCATTAAACCATCTCGCCACATCAGACTGCGTTTATTTCCCTACTGTTACACCAAAGGAACTCGGAGCTCGCGGATTTAAGGATGCCATTGTTCCCCCATAGGGTGTCATCTATATTCAGATCGTGGTGGTGGCAGAACTCATGGTTTTGTTGTTTTGTACAGTGGGGAGAATCAACAGTCTTTCATTGTTGCTGTCAACAGGAGTGACTTTGTTTTCCCAAAGCAATGCATGCTATACGCCTACATTCCTGCAAAATGGAAGCTTACACAGCAAAACAAAGCGAAGCTGGATTAGTAACCAGCCAGAGTGGGAGCCTGGCGCACATCCCGGTCCACAGGGCCTCAAAGGGGGGTTTTAGTATCCACCGAGAGAGCATCTTGGATTCAACCACCTATGACACCTGTTGTGTGTCGCTCTATAAATCAGTCATTACTACATCATCACATGAGTCAAAACTCCCCTCTCCGCAAACGTAGACATTAATTTGATCTCAACAAGATACAAGCAGGTATAATTTATTACCAAGAATTTGAAACCCAAAGGGTTTGACGAAGCTACAAAAAAATAGTGGTAGAGCTGGAACAGAATGACTCATATGGAGGAAAAAAAGATAGGAAAGTTAAAATGAGAAAATAGAAATGACAAACAACAATATCACACAACAAAATTAAACACAGTTAAACTAATTACTGACATCTTTTTGCAGGTTCTTGACACATTTGGAGGCTCCAGCAACATATTTAGTCACGATGAATCATGGGCACAGCTTCATGAGGGGCCAATGATAGGATTGGGTAAAAATAAAAACCTTATCCTGTGTTTTAAAAAAAGGAAAATACCTTGTTTAGAGAATCATTGGAGTTTGGGATTGATGTGTGATTAAAATATAAAAGGGTAGAATCTAGACTAATCATGGTTTACTTCACGTAACGTGCCCTGAGAGTTTTTTCTTTAAATATTGGTTCTATATAAATAAACTGGACATAACTGAAAGTCCTTACTTTACTTTGTGTACAAATGCATTGTCATATTTATTCCAACTAACCTGAGCAGTGCGAGCATTAGAGGCCTCAATGAAAATAAAAATGGGAGAGAATCCTTCTCAGAAGACTGACAGAATCAGTCTTTTTAATGTGTGACTGGAAACTAGCTGACACGTAGAAAACAGGAAGGATTACAAAACGGGCTCATCGGTTACTTAGTTCCTACAGACATTTAGTCAGCTCTTATTCAAGACAGTTTAACACTCACAACCAAAAACAGAGAGAGCTGAAACTGGGTTCCTTTATTTCTAAGAAGTGAGTGTGACAAACAAACTTCGACACAACCACAGCTGCCACCTGTTAGGAAATATGAGCTGGTGGCTTGCCTGCAAATTAAGTCTGTCCATCCTCACATGTGCTTTTAGAAAATTACAGTATGTTTCATCCAGTGTTCATAACAATGGGCAAAAGTATTTTTCAGATATTATTACAATTAAGTTATGTGTACTTTTAAGCTTTGTCAGTGTCAAAGGGCTTAAAAATTGAATAAAAAGACGTTTGCCTGAAAATGGTCAGATGGGTGGGAGAAACATCTAATGTCTAATGAACCAATAAAGACGTCCATACAGCATGAATAATTGATCAAGAATCATTGAAATATTGCTCAAAAGTCTTGCTGCTTGGAGGTAAAATGTAAAGTAATTAAAGATGGCTCAAAAAATCTGTGTAAAATCCCTAACGTGCAACATAATTGTGTGTCTGGTTTCAGGAGTGCCCCACCCAGCTCGAAGTTCTTCTCGGTGAAGTGCACTCCTAATGTTCGGTACAGCGTAACCCCCCAACCTAAGGCCACGTCTGACCTCTCCCCCATCCCTCTTGAGGGAAACTCATTGCTTTTCATCAGCATGAATCAGGCCAGCCAACATGAAAATGACAGCAAGGTGAGTGGGGCAGAAATGTGTGTTTGAGCATCCTCTGAGCTATGAGACATAAAAAAGCATAAGCAAAACGATCCATTTACTACATTATAAAACACACTCCTAATTCATAAGTCTGATCTTTACTCGTGTTCAAATGTTTTTTTAAAGAGAGCAGGAATCCCCCTGAGGCCAGAGCGTTTGTACCTTGGTCTTGTCAAGATGTTTTGATTGATGTTTCTTTACTAACCAGAGGAAATATTTCATGCTGAGCAGGAGAGAAATGTTCTGACTATACAAAAAAGTACGTTTTGTAACGAAAACATTTTGAATCCAGTTTGTTTGTGTGGAACCTTCTCATTTCATACAGTAAAATGTTGACATGTTTCTGTACACCAGTAACTGCTGCCTCTATGTTTCAAGCTCTCTGTCCGCTACTACGGAGAGAATAAAGAAGCCTTAGGACAAGCAATTCTGCACCTGACGGCTGTTGGTAAGCTAATTCATACAAAAAAATCACACAATTTACAAGTTTTTAAATGTTGTGAACTTTCTGAAGAAACTGAATTGCATGTTTAAATGTAGACCTGAACATTTTGGACAGATGTTCCTTGGAGGCTTTAATAAAGAATGATGGTGATGACAGGACTGTGCAACATCTGTTTGTGATAAACATTTCTGTCACGTAGAAATTTCTCTGGATGTGGATGCGGACAGAGATGGCATCGTGGAGGAAAACAACCCCAATAAGGTGATAACAGATGTGTCTGCTTGAGTTGACAGAGCAATGTCTGAAAAGGGAGAAATGTGCTCTTTTCTGCTTTGCAGGCATCGAAATACACTTTTGTGGAAAAAAAAAACTCTTGAGTATCATATTTGTCAGTAAGCTGTAAAAACGTACAATCTGTTTTCCATCCTTTTCTTTCCGCGTTTGCAAGCTGATTTCTTTGTACAAGCCCCAACAGGCAGCTGGAGACACATTTTTGAGTTTTAGCCTCAAGACATTTTGTGCATGTTCTCACTCATAGTATGCACCCAAATACCTTCTTTAAGTACATTTCTAACTCCGTGTTCCTTATGTGAAAAGAAAGCCAAAAGTTAGTTGTTTGCCCAGTTTCACAAAACTCGTTATAATCATCTCATAATTAACTCTCCTGTTTGTTAAAAATCTGTTAGGGATCCTGGAAATGGGGCGCTGATGGTCACGGAGCTATCGTCCTGGTCAACTGCGACTCAGAGAGGACCTATTTGAAGAAACCAGACAGCGAGGAGGACCGCATCTCCAGAGTGTCGGGTAATCTCGTGTCAGCGCATCTCACCTTTCACCCAATAATGCAGTTTCCCTCTTTTTATTCCGCCAATTTACAGCAAAGACAATGTCACATTTAGATTCAAACAGTCATAAAGTAAGTCAGTCTAATAAAGAAAGCCTTGTGGAGGGCAAGTTCACAGAGAGGGCCTCGAAAAAAGACTTTGTAAGTGGACAAACCGGTCGTGCTGAAATTTGATAGAAGGGATGCTTTTTTCGTGCTAGTGTGAACCTTGAAGGTAGAAGCATGTCTCGGGCACATGTGCAGAGCCCCAATGTATGCGATTAGAATTCAAACCAAAAAAACATTTTTTTTTTATTTAAAAAAAATAAAATAAAATAAAATAAAATAAAATAAATAAATAAATAAATAAATAAATAAATAAATAAATAAATAAAGAAATAAAATAAAATAAAAAATAAATAAAGAAATAAATAAAGAAATAAAAATATAAATAAAAAAAGAAAAACAAAAGGAAAAAAAAGAATTCAAACACGCGTGGCTTTTTGTGACCGTGCAGATCTGAAGGACATGTCACCCATGGTGCTGCGGACCAAAGGCCCGGCACGGCTGCCGGACGGCTACAAGCTCACCATGCACATCTCTCAGGGAGATGCCGAGAGCGTCCGAGTCTTTCGATCCGGATCCACTCAAGTGCCGACCAACACTCTGCGTAAGAACGACGACCGTGCCGTGTAACGTATGCGTGTAATCCATCAGATAAATCCAATCCTTCACTTTGTTTTTACGTGCTTTTTAAACATGAAATGGATTCTGCAGGCAAGCTCTTCAGCTCTTTTGTCAAGGACTATCCGCTGGTGCTGAGCAGCGAGGTCCTTTCTCAGGAGGTACCCTACCTGGGAGGCGAGGCGGAGATGAATCTATATGTGGAAGGCCTCAGATTTCCCGACAAAGACTTTGACGGACTCATCAGCATCAGCCTCAGTCTGCTGGAACCCATCTGTGCTGTGAGAGCCGCAGTACCGCACCCACAACTCGCTCTTTTTTCATCCCACCGTAGTTGTTTTGCCATTTCTTTTTTATGAGTTCGTTTTAAATTCAGTTGTATAACACTACAACACTATAGTTTGACCAAAATCTTAAAATAAGGTCCATTTTATAGTCCTTTTATAGTTAGGAGATTTTGAAAAACATCTCAGTTTTTAGTTACACAAATGTGGCTTTCAGTTAGACGTTAGCTTTCCACATTACTGATAATGAACCGAGCACATATTTGAAGATAGTCTCCAGTGTGCATGCAGAGTTTTTTTATCAATGCAAAGATTATCTTTTGTTTTTGTCAAAGATCTAAATGATTTAAACAATTTTATAGAACAGGGTCAGTGAAAGCTTGATTTAAGAAATAAATATCAGAGGCATTGTCACCATACCGGTAATCTCTGATATGCGGTGTAGGTTATCCAAAGCCAGCTAAAAAATAGAAAGCCTTGCTGTGTCGCATTTGCACTTTCTTCTCACACCTACTTTGGTTGAGACTGATGTTTATTAAAAACAAAAAAACGTGGTAAACTTTTTTGGGATTTGATCATTCTGCACATTTCATTTAGACATTTACTCATGGAGTTTATATCATGTTTAGCCACTTTTAAAGCAGTTGTAAGGAAGACGAAAACCATCAGCCTCTCTGTTTTTTTCGACAGGGTCTTCCTGAGACGCCCATTTTTACCGACAAAGTCGTGTTCAGAGTGGCTCCGTGGATCATGACACCCAACACCCTCAGGCCTGTCGAGGTTTTTGTCTGCAGGTTAGACCGGACTGATGAATAATAAAGATAACTGAAACAATAGATGTGTTCCACACATTCTTCCTTATACTGAATAATAAAGAACACATTATTCAGTATTTAAGAGAACACATACTCATGACTCAATACAGTACTGCTAACTCTTTAAAGTGCTTGTTAGTTTTATTTATGTTTTTTATTTAATCAGGCCATTTTGGTGCGGTAGTATTTGACATCATATAAATCCAATGAATGAATGGTTTGAAAATGTAAAGTATTGCTTATTGAAAACTGCACGATTGTCTGTGTTTTTCAGCACGTCTGATAACTATCAGTTCCTAAAAGGAATGACAAACCTAGTTGCAAAGAGTGGGTACAAGCTCAAGGTTTGTCATGAGTATGTGAACAGAGGAGACCGTTGGATGCAGGTAGGAAAAAGTCAAAGTTATTATGTGTTATTCTCTCACTTTAATTGCGTTGTTAATTCACAATTTAGCAGTAAATGAATTTAATTGAATACAGTACATTTACAGATTTGAGATCTTGTTTATTTAAAAAATACCCCAAGGCTTTGGTTGTAACCATAAGGGGAAAAAAAGGGAACTTTGATAAGATATGTGATACGAGGAGAGCCGTCATGTGTATAATCTTATTTTTCAGGATGAACTGGAATTTGGTTACATTGACTCACCCCATCAAAGATTCCCTGTAGTTCTGGATTCTCCTAGAGATGGAGATCTCCAGGACTTTCCATATGATGAGCTACTGGTGAGGAAAAAGGGTTGATCAATGAGAAAAGGATCCCATGAGGCTTCTCTTTGCCCATCATTATGCTTCCATTAATGTTACATGTATTTAGCTGTATTCACAATTGCGGAAAAAGCTTATGAGGTAACATACATGTCAGCAGAAAAGAGAGTGAAACAGCTCCAACAAACATACTCGTTCACATACAGTAAAAATAGTAAGTGGTTAATTCAGTGAATTAAACCTTTGTACGTGACTCTAAAGATATGTGTCCAAATTTCTTTCTTTAGGGCCCTGACTTTGGCTACGTGACAAGGGTGGCTCACATGAAAGATGTGAGCAGTCTGGACTCGTTTGGCAATCTTGAGGTCAGCCCCCCTGTGACTGTGAACGGGAAGACGTTCCCCCTGGGTAGGATCATCATTGGGGTAGCCTTCCCGACGTGAGTAACAGATAAACAGATGAGTCCCTACCTTATGAAGAGTAAAGTAATTTCTCTCCGATTAATGGAGCAACAGAAATGTCCCCTGACAGGATTTCCACATACTGAAGGCCTCTTCTTTCTGTCAGGGCTACTAAAGGACGAAACATGACCAAAGTTGTTCAGGACTTCCTGTGGGCGCAGAAGGTTCAGGAACCCATTGCCTTATTTTCCGACTGGCTCCTTGTCGGCCATGTGGACGAATTCATGACTTTTGTTCCGGCACACGACAGAAAGGTGGATTTTTCAGTCATCTAAGGAATGCAGATGAGTGACAACATTAAAGGCCAACAAGGCACGCAGTGTGTTATTAGAGTGTGTGGCCTTCAAGTGCTGCCAGAGCAGCTTTTATGCCTCCTGGCATTGATTCTGTAATTCTGTTTGATGGTTTAATGATGGTGGTGGAGAAAGCTGGAATTATTTAAGTCCAAAATCACTAACTGGACTAATGGACTCAAATATTTTCAGTAAAATGCACCAAAGCATAAGAGAGCCACCACATGCACTCACTGTGGGCTAGTTATTCAGTTTTTTTTTAATTAGTCTTTTTTGCTCTCAGTGGTTGATCCTTGTTGTCATGTTAACTCTGGGACTGTATTAGCTATCCTGATAGGAAACTAGAGTTATCTGAGTCTTCTCTGTGCCTGGTCACAGGGCTTCCGACTGCTGCTGGCAAGCCCAGACGCGGGCTACAAGCTCTTCAGAGGCCTACAGAACGATGGGCATGGACAAGCCAAATTGTTCGACGGTACGGTGAACTTGCTAATATCAAAATGATGAGGCAAAGATTTAAAAATGGATTGTAACAACGATCAAACTCAAAACCTTATCTGTGTATGATGTCCCCAAAGGCCTAAAAGGGGAAAAGCCCCAGACAGTGGATGATATACTGGCTGACAAAAGTCTACAGACCGAGAACAACTACGTGCAGGTGAGCAGGATGGTGATCTCCAAATGCCACTACACATAACACTGGACAACCTTAGAGCTGAACTTTAAGTAGCAGAGTTCCTCAGGCTTTCTGCTTTTGATCTGATCCGCTGCGAGCCACAATTTAAAACCTAAGTCTAAGTGTATTTTTGTCCTTTTCAGTACAAAATATGTTTGCTGACTCATATGAAAAACAGCCCACCACACTGGCCTGATTTGTGTGCTCTTTTTAAGGTTCGGATCAATAGACAATTATCGTTTGTGTTCTCCCATTATACGATTTTTTTCCACTCACCTGTAAAGCAGTTCACCTTTAGAACACTGGAGTAGTATGACTTGGACTTTGTGATCATTTGCTTGTTCTGTGAAATTTTTTGTTGTCCCGCTTGAGCTCTTAATTACTGAGAGATGGACAAGAAGAAAATAGGAACATAAGCCTTCTAATTAGAATGAAAACCAAATATGATATACCTTTTTGATTACGCCCGTAATGAAAATGAATACACATATTGTTGGCATAATAATGCACAACATTTTTACAAGGCATTTTCTGCCTTGTTTAAGCTGATTAAGAGTGAGGTCGAAGGTCATGACAGACAACATCTTCTTGACATTTATTAGCTATTTAGCTGCCGCTTTTCTGAGCCTTGCTGCTCTTTTCCAGAGCTGTATTGACTGGAACAGAGATGTACTCAAGAGAGAGCTTGGCCTGGATGATGATGACATTATCGACCTGCCAATCCTCTTCAAATTGGTGCGGGAGGAGCACGACGAACCTTCGGACGAGGAGGAGGAGGAGGAAGAGGAGGAGCAAAGGGAGCCGCAGTACAGAGCAGTGGCTTATTACCCTGACATGGTAATCTTTCAATTAATTTTTCTATTTCTATTTCCTTTCTAAATCAAGAGGATTTAAAGCTCTCAGTTCACCAAAGAATAGTAGAATGAAATGAATGGAGGTGCTTCTGGCACTGACTCACGTCACATTGATTTTTAGGTGAACATGATTGTCTTGGGGAAAAACCTTGGTATCCCGAAGCCCTTCGGTCCCAAAGTGAACGGACGCTGTGCCCTGGAAGCTGAGATGTGTTCCCTGATGGAGGGCCTGGGCCTCAGCTGCACGTTTATTGACGACTATGCCTCCTACCACAAACTGCTGGGAGAGGTGCACTGCGGCTCCAACGTCCGCAGGGAACCGTTTGACTTCAAGTGGTGGAATCTCGAGTTGTGAACGCAAACTCAGAAGGTTGTGGGTTAAAGTTGCAGTATTTTAAGATTTACACTAGCGACGGTACCAACAACTTAATAATACCGCAAATCCAAAACGGAGGCAACCATATGCTTCTTCCCTTCCTGCAACTGCTTCACAGTCAGAGGAACTAACTAATTCTCATCTATTGGCCACATTACATGTGAAGACGTAAGGAACTGATCACTTTTGCATTCGTGGCATCCCACCAAAACATTTTTGCCTAACAAATTGGCTGATTAACAAAGTATGAATGCTGGATTCGTTAAAGGCGGAAAATTCAGATTAGGAGATGCAATTTCACGATTTTGACACTCAATGATTGTTGTTAATAACAACAATGACATGAATCGAAAGGATTATAACTTACACTAACATACAAGGTACAGACAAACAGGTACTTTCTCTTTAAAGCCTTACAAAAAGTTTTTTAGTTAAACTCCCAAGCTGTTTTCTGATGTTATCAATCATTTTAAATGTGTGAGTGCCTTGTTGTTATGCCAAAGTTTTAACAATGGAAAAAAAGTCCTGGGGGCTAAAACTTGGTGTGAATCTTCATCTTTAATAAATCTTTTTGTTTGCTTCATTTACAAAAAAAAAAATGATGAAAAGCAATATTTACAAAGAAATCTTCTGAACAACAGCTTAAGCAAACAGTTGACAAGAACAGAAATACAATCATTTGAATTGAGCATGATGAGGATTTGCTCCCAGTGTTAATGTGGTTGTTGGCCACTGGCATACAGTGCAAGCACAAATAGATGGTTCCATTTTAATGTGTGCAACAACAACACAACGCCACAAGAGGGCAGACTTTGTTTAACCATCGTTTTCATATTCCAATAGGATGAGTTCAATTAGTTTTCTTTGAAAAATCATTTTAAAAGACTAACACTTTTGTGTTACTGTGAATGTCTCTGTGTGTAGTTATTTGTTGCCTAAAAGAGCTTATTGTACACAATATGAGTTTCGACCGTGTTTCAAACTTTTGCACGTTCACATAATGCTCTCATCAATTAATTGGACAATAAATGTCAGCTTCAGTCAATTCACTGGAAAAAATGTCCCCGTGCCTCATTTCTCCCCTTTAAAATAAACCTAAAACAATCTCCTCTCCTTAAAGGGGGTGTCCCCCTTTATAGAGAGGGGTAGGGATACTGTGGTAAGGGATTCATCACAGTATTGCCTTTTAGAGCAGCAGAAATGTTCAAATAAATCAATTTCTGCCCAGTTTTACATTCAAGCCATCAGGCCTCACAAGAGCCTTTAAATACGACCATCAGCAGCTTCTGTGACACGACCGCAAAGGCAACTTCAAGATGAGTCACAGTGTAATTCATTTCCAGCAACAAATCGGGGGCTTTGCAGAAAGGTCAGCGTTTGAGAACAACAAGAAATGTAGTGCTTACTGTAAGTCACATACATATATTACACTTTACAAATATAGTTGCAAACAGTGACACTCGGCTCTCCATCAGCACTGTGCACTGCGTTTTGAGATGTCGGCTGGTATTTTAGTCAAAAACACAAACGACGGGGACAACAACTCTATGTCAAGCGTTGCACGGGCGTGCAAAGAAGAGGATTTTGGCAAGCAGATCTACACCATGCACAGCACTGTTGTATACACACATCAGGTGAGGTGCGACAACATAGCATTTGGAGAGAGAAATATAAACAGCAGTACGTTTAGGTGTGGACTGGAAATGCATGTCTCTAGCTGCAGTTCACTTGTCTGTTCTGTTCCTCTTACAAGAACTTCGCAGAAATTGTCTTGTATCATTTACCATTAGTCCCCATACGACCCACACCCTTTGAAAAAGATGACGAATTTGTCAAAGTTGTCGTGAAACACAACAGATATGCACAGCAGACTACCCCGAAAATAAAATCTTATTAATAAAACACAGAAATATGGCCTGACAGAAAGAAACACACACCTTGTACGTCAAAGTTAAACCTTTGTATAATGTCACAGTGGGATGGGAATTTTACATAAAAAAAAAACAGACTCTTCATAGTGCAACTCTCCTCAAGCCAAACAAACACGAGCTGTTTGCTCGTTTTTACGTTTCTTACTTCCACCCTTTCATTATTTGAATTAAAATCCCCATTCACATCCAGATCTTCATAAGAAGACCCCTTAATGCTTCAGTAGAAGAGTTTTTAAAGCCTACTGGCCTGAAGAATGAGAAGACCTACTCTGGCACGCCAGCCGACAGATGCAAGTTTAGACTGTGGAAGTCTATCTTCCTTTTCCTTTAGCTCTCAAGGTTTCCACATGGAGAATTGAATGAGGGCAATTCGTTTGCACATGGAGCTGGCGTCTGCCACGACAGGCAGGCGGTCCGTGACGAACATACGAAGAAGGCTCTCGCTCTCCGGTGTGGTTCACCTGTGCTTCTTTTCTGCTTCTGTGTGGGACTTCATATGCCTTCCTTGGGTTGTTGTTGGGCAAAAAATGTCACTGAAGGGAGACAAACGGGAGACATTGGAGAGATACATTTATTAAATGCATTAAAAACATTTCATTTTAAAGTGTTTTACAGGAAAAAATGAACAGCCTTACACTAGCCTTGGAATGACTGCTCTATTCACAATTGCCAAGTGAAGCTTTATAACTATACCAATTGGCTATGCTCACACCTCTTCCTGCCAATAGCTGACTGTCAGTCTTTAATGTTCATAAATTAACCAGAAAAAATATTCAAACATGACTGATCTCAGTTATACGGGGTAACGGCTAAGTTGATTTAACGTTAGGCTACCAGATCTGCTTGATTCTCGTTTCATTGGTTCTTTATGCAAATAGGCTGTACATCGAACATAAATAATACTCACAAAAAGTTAGGGACATTTGGCTCTCAGGTTAAATTTATGGAAAAGGTGAGACTACCAACAGTTACCAACAGTGGTGGGTATGCCACAACAAAAAAACGATCAGTGGCTTAATAACACAATTGTGACAATTGTGTCTCAAGCAGTTCACAACTAAACTTATTTTCCTTAAGGTGTCCTGAAGGGCAGCCCTGAGGACACTGAGGTTCCGGGGAGTCACAAGTCTCTACACGAAAACTAAGCTGATCCCAGGGATTCAGGCCTGGAGAAAGTGCCGGCCATTCATCATCCAGCTCCACAAGGCACCGTTTACAGTGAAGAGGTCACCAGTGCGGGATGCGGTCCAAAGGACATCCATCTCTATGGTTTTCTCCTTTTCTGTGACTCGGTCTCGCAGTGGCTCTGACACTCTCTGACGCTCTAAGATCAGTGGCTACGTCTGTCTGAGAACTTAAATATCCATTGAGATTAAAACAGGAAATCTATTGGTCGATTCACAGATCAAACAAACATCTGTTGTGGATTTTGCCATTGAGCTCCAACAGAAATTTGTACAAAAAGCAGTGAAAAATGTGCATTCAAAAGTTTAGAGAAGGTCACAGTAAGTTCACCTTTAAAAGTGAAATTTCAAGCGAAAGCAAAAAATTCCAAACAAAAACATAGAATTTAGCTTCTACTTTCACAACTATAGGACAGAATAATGTACAAGCTGCCCAACAATTATGTCTGTATTTTGTCTAACCTGAAGATGGCCATTGATGTAGAGATCAGAAGACAGTGGCTAACAGTTCTGCAAACAAACACAGAGAATATGAAACAGTTAATACAGTTAATATAGTTAATCCAACACCGCTTGCCAAAATGTTCGAATTATTTGCTGCTACTTGTAAAAATATGGTCATTCCATTCAACAAATTGTTCAAAAATGAGCATGAGTTCAGCTGACGTATGTATCGGTGCCATTTAATGAGTGATGCTGTGTCCGTTGTCTCACTGATGAGAGCTTGCGCTCCAGCTGGGGTCGCTCTGTCTTGGGCTGGCCGTCCGTCCCTTTTGGCTCGGATGTCTTCGCTGGATCCGAAGGCTGCTGAGGACGGGACGGTGCTGAGAGGAAAGGGACAGATGTGTGGCTGTCGTGATTACTAAACCCATGCACAAACAAAATGCTTCAAGCTGGAAAAAGCAGATATCACACACTTGAAAAGATGCTAAGAAACCGTTAGCTGGGGAAGTGGTAAAGTTTAGCATGTTTAAAAAAGTTTTCAAATTGCACAAACCGGGCCTCGTGTTGTTGGGGGCTTATTTAATCATTTCACGGTGCTTTAACATCACTTCCTCAGGACACGGTGTTAAAGTGTTATTATTAGATCTGACCCAGCTACACCTTCCCCAGGTACTGTTATACACTTGGCCTTGCCTGCGTCTCACTCCTCTAGGCTACCACTGGCCTGATAATAGGAAACTCCTTTTCCCAAACTCACCTGTAGAACTTGCCGGGCTGCCCGCGCTGTCCTCCACCCCGGAGCCGTACACGAACGAGTCTCTTTGTACTGGCGTGATGCAGGAGGCGCTTTCCTGGGAGAGGGGCACGCAAAGAACGTTCGGCAAACCTAATTTTTTTTTTACCAAACGTCGCATAGCTAGGTGACCTCCCGATGTGTCCACCCACCAGTCCGGTGTCGTACTCCTCTTCTTCGTTCTCTTCCACAACGCTGGCGAAGCTGCTGGCGTTGGACGAGGAGCGAGAAAGGTCCTGAGCCTCAGGGATGGACGGCGCCCTGCAACACATGGCCAGACTACACACCTGGGTCACTCTGAGCACACAAGCATCGGCTCCTTCCTCCCGCAGAGTTTGTCAGGTTTTTAAAAAGTAGACATGACATTGGGTGAGGGCCTACATGATAGTCACCTGTTTTTTGTGGCAGTAAAATCTGGAGAGCTGTGATTGGACGAGTTGTCAGATTTGTTTTCTTGCGACAGGTGGCTGCTGTCCAGTATCCTCTGGGCGCTGGGGGACACCTCTCGGCTTTAGGACAGGGGCGTGAGAGTAAGAGTTAAGATTAATCCAAGTTTTCAGAATACAATGCTTTCTGTTGCTTTTGCAAAAGCAGATGTCCATCAGGTGTGCTCATTAAAAATGAAATAATAATAAAACCTGGATGTTAACACATTCATTCTATAGCCTCTTTCAAAGTTATTACAAATTAGAAATAACAAAACCAGATTTTGCCAAGTGCAGTATTTAACATAGAATTAGCTTTTTCGATTTCAAGAATTAGTTTATGGAACATTCTTCCAATGGCAAAATTGTTTTAGCGCCATTCGATTCTCGCTTCTTGACCCCCTCCCAGTGGATCAGCTCTTCCCTGTCCTCTCACCTCCTCTCCTGAACCTCCTGGATATTCTCGATGCCGATGGCACTGCTGCGACGGGAGCTGAAGGGCCCAGACTTTTTCCTGGTTGGGCTCTTCCCAGGAATGATTAGTGACTAATTTCAGGTTGGAAGGAGAAGGTAAGACACTATGATATGACACCAAAAATTGACACACAAGAATTAACATGTTGATATCTGCAGCGTGTGTGTGGTGGGAGGTTCATGGTGAAGCTTATGGCTGCGTAAATCTCGAGATGATGTAATGATACATTAGGGAATTATTTCTAATATCATCATATTTTGAATGAATGGAATGGGCGCATTTCTGGGTAGAAATGCGTTTTATGATTTTTAATTACATCTAATGACCACCGATGCAGAAACTCCTCACAGTCAAAGGAAGTAAAGCATACAACTACTACAACCCCAGTCTCAAAAAGTTGTTGATAAGACACAGTGCAAAGTTTGCAAATCTCATGCGTAAATATTATTTCAAAAGGATACAGAGAAAAGATCAAATGTTCAAATGACATTTCACCCTTTCCAGCTCACCTTGAACTTTGTAGAAGTACATCGACAAGAGAAACAAAAAGCTAGACCTGAGGGAAAACCAGTGGGCATCCACTACTGACTCTTTTTTTAATAATCATGGACACTCCATCCTCCACTCTGAAGAAGAAGAGGGTTATCTTACTTGTCATCAGTGTTCCCTTCAATAGCTCATATCTCTGAAGGCATTGGGGTACAGCAGTGTTCAGATGGTGTCTTTTTCAGGGAACACCTTGTATATTTCAGCAAAACATGGTTAAATCACATACTGCAACTATCACAGAAACACTTTAGCCAATTTTAAACATTCAGCACGAAACACAAACAACAACAAAGAAAGCTCATAGAAGGGGACAATGTTTCTCTCCCATCAGCTGAGCTAATATTTTTCATTAAATAGTCAAATTGATCAATTTTCACTTTTGATAATTGATGTTCTGTCTTTTTTGTTTCGCTGTGAGATTTGCAAAATGTTGCATAATTGATTAGTTTACAATTTACCCCGTGTCATAATCTATATATTTTTTTTTTTGTTAGGAACTGGGGTCGCAGAACTCACATAATGAAAAGGACAGCAAAGACATTTTTTCAAAAATGTAAGAAAGAAGATAGATTATACATGAACCTCTTCTATTGTTCCTATCCCTATGGCACTGCCTCGGCGTCCATATTTACTGGGACTTTTCCCCGGGACAAGCAATGACTGAGCCACACAAGACAGGGCAGAGGAGGCAGAGAGAGAGGGAAGATGACAGATTGAAAAAAGCGAGAGGGGGGAAGAAAAAGAAAAGAATACATCATAAGATTTCATGCACACAGGAATTTAAACAGCAAGGTGAAAAATCAACCTAAAGGGAGATTACAGCATGAGAGAAAAAAGCAGCAATGACATGAATTTAATAGGTTGGGGTCCAACGTAGGAGAGAACAGCACTATTATTGCATGCTAGCAAATGCAGCCCAAAGGGATACGGGAAAAGGGGAAAGAGGGCCAACACAATCAAACAGATAGTCTTTACAAACCCCTTTGAAATTGGGATTATATACGAAATAAAATAAAATAAAATAACCCTACATAGGAGAAAAAAACAAGGCATACAGTAGAGTTCCCCACAATTAAGGCTTATGTCATGCATATTTTCCAGCCATGCATGCGCAAAGTAGCAGCGATAGTTCATTGCATTTGGGAGGGAAGCAGTCGTTTTAAACTGTAGCAAGGAGGGAGGGAGTCTGGGTAGTCATACAGACGCTACTCTGAGCTCACTTCAAAAACTTGGGAAGGACACGAGACTGGGGTTCACAACTATCTTGTGCAGTCAAGAAAAATCACCAACATGGATATTATTTCATCAAGATGCTGTTGGGCTGCCACTCTCTGCACAAATAATCATTTTTCCAGCGGAGGAGAAGAAGCTATTTGCTGTGAAGGAGTAATTATTTTTTCCCATCAGAACAAATAGTCAATAACAGATCTATATGGTAAAAGGCAATTAGTGAAAGCAGTTTTATCACAAAGAAAGAGTGAAATTAAAATGTCAGGACTGACAGGAATGAGATGAAAGCTTTGATGGTTGCACCATGATTAAAATTAAGTGCTAAAATTTGCCAATGGCAGCAGTTATGGGGCTGGTTTAAAAAGATTTCGGTGTGTTTATCCACCTGGCATTGAAAACGCTGAATCTGAATGTATGTGTTAGGTGGGCAACACGTGAACCAAAGTGGACTACTTACAATCCCTGGGGTTTTGGGACTCTCTGCGGGATTATGGGTAAAGCTGCCACTGTGACTAGTTGAGACTGTGTGTGACTTCTTGTTACTGAGGCCCATGGCATCCATAGACTGGCTTCTGCTGCGGATGACCCGCTACCAAGAGAAATGAGGAGATACCGGCTGTCAGTGGAACCTCAACACACTGACCAGTATTCAAAGGCTCTAAATACTGCAGATATCAGGTCAAATAATTTCCTAATTGAAATTGAAGTTCAATAAATTGCCGTGCTGTAGCACACAACCTTTTTTGTCCATGACTGGAACCTGTTTATGAAAGTGAATATAACTACATTTAATTAAAAGTTATAGTCAATACACTTGCCCATGGTAACTGATTTTATCTCATTTGAATTTAAAAAAAAAACCAAGTCTGTGAATAGTATGATCAGTATGAGTGTTTGATTTATTTACTGTTCAGTGTGGTCAAATGTAAAGAGTTAAGACTGAGATTATAGTAAGTGATTTGACAAGATTAAAAGCTTAAATTTTTTTCCAGGAACAAATAAGTGCACTTGAATAGGTTTGTGCTTAAATATGTATGCATTGCATGCAACTAAATGCAGGACTATCTCTCAACACTTAGGGGCAGTGCAGGTCAACAGGCAAAGAGAGGAAGCTGTGTGGAAAAAACAAATGTACTTCACAAAAAGTTGAAAAGACTGCATTAGAGAAAGATGAGGCATATTCCATCTAAAAAAAGAAGATGTTATCTAACATGGGTGAGCCTGAAGCTCAGAATTTTAGAACCAGGCTTGGGTGAAAAAAGAAGACCAAGTGAGTGGCAGACACATACATACCATTGCATTAAGATAAAGGGAGAGTGGGAAGTCTTAGCAGATGTATTTGTGGAAGTATGAAAGTCAGAGAGACAGAAAAAAAGAGCACATTTATGCAGAGATATTTTATGCACATTGGGATAATAATGAGCCCACAGAAATAGCAGAGTGAAAGAAAAAAAGAGAACTGAGGCTACAAGTTGCAGAGAAAATCTAAAAAGGATGGCCGAGAATTACTGATAGGGTAAGAGGGAATAAGAAAAAAAAACAGTGGAGGAATGCTGCCCATGGAGATATGTACATGCCGCATCATCGGCTCCATAATGAGAAGTCATTAAATCGTTCATCAGGCACACAGTTCCTGCCACCATGCCTCGGCGGCCGAGCTTCCCTCCACCACCCTAATGGTCATTGATGGAGCACTCTCAGGGAGAGAAAAGTGCCTTTCATACACAACAGGACACTCCGCCGCCGTGTGAAAACACACCAAGTTCAGCAGTCGCAGCCAAAAGAGGAAAAGCAAATGCCACGGGACTGGTCCTTTGAGATACTTGCAAATTGTCTATGCTTTTATTTTCTCAAGTGTGAATACCCAGAATCCCAGCCAAGAGAAAGGGGAGGAAAAGAAAAACATCTTAAAAGTTTTTTTTTTTTTTAAACTCATCAGCATTCTCTTTCATGCATGTGGTGTTGCAGATTACAAGTGCTCTGACTCAAATGAGGAACGATGCTGTACCTTGAAGGACTCGAAGAAGCCCCCGCCCCCTCCTGCACCCCCGTTCTCCAGCTTGTCCTCGTCTCCACCCAGACCCATCATGGACTGGCTGTTGATGTGCAGCTCCTCATACAGCGTCTCCAACAGGGCCGAGCGCGTGCGCTCCTGACAACAACAACAACAACAAAACCGAAGATAAGTATGCTACTAAAATGGAAATGGACATTTATGATTTCACAGCAGCCACACTAGCGACAAATCAGTAAAACATAACACCAGGGCGACAAACATCAGAACAACATCTGTCATGCTTTGTCGGGCTGTTGTCTGAGAGGGAAGGGCGGCAGTGGTGTGTTGTCACTTCTTATCGAGGCTACGGCCAGCAGGATGCAAAAACCTGTGCAAACAGGTGCGGCTCGGGTGTAAACACGCCGACACACACACACACACACACTCGAGGCGTTCGCACTCCCGCGGTTGCTCCTCACCTCCAGCTTGGCAAACTTCTCGGCCTTGTAGCAGGCGTATTCCGCATTGATGAGCTTGGTGAAAAGGAACTCGTGGAACTCCGAACCCTGATGAAGAAAAATCCCCAAAAAGGGTGAGGCAGAGGAAATGAGGGTATATGGACGTTCTGCTTCAGAAACATGGTTGTGTCCACTCTGTGGATATACTGACCTTTTTGAAGATGGCAGGGTCAGGCAGAGCTGGTCCGAAGAAAGGTACGTCGTCACGTGCCGTTACCGACACCTGAGGGACAAAACGGATAGGAAAACTAATTAGCAAACAACAAATGGGAGGGATCAAGATTTGAAGTGTGATAGTGAGTGTTACGAGGATTTGACAGGTCCCTGCAGAACATTGGCTGAGACTAACCTTGTAGGTGACATTGTCTGTGCATGCATTTTCCACCTGCACCACCACGTAGGCATGCAGGAAGTTGGACTGGATCATATCTGGTACAAAGGGTGTATTTTCCTCCTGGAACACGATGGCTACAATGTCGTTGCCTATGTGCCTCTTCCTCTGCAGCTGGGGTACACAGATAAAGAAAGGTAACAACACCAGAAAAACATGTTTAAACAGCCTATTTGAGCAAAGCTTATCCTACCACTGAATGACTCCCACTTGCACATGAACACAAAATAAATTATATAATAATGTGGTCCAAACAGGGAGGTAAAGATAAGTTTGAAGCTGGATCACACCATTCTACCTAAGACACAGGTCAATTCAGTATTATTGTCAGCCAAATATATTGAAACCGGATGTCTCTGGTTCATTTCGGCTGAATATATAGTCATATGAAAAAGAAAGTGAACCCACTTTTGGTTCTCTGAGACATTTAGGGGGATATCTACACCTTATGAATACTCAATCCCAATGAAAGAAGATGTTGGCTACGGTCTCTCTAAAGCTATTTTTACCACCCATCAATCTGGGAGGGGTTATAAGGTAATTTGTAAACTATTCTACAGTGAGATGGATCATTCCCATATGGAAACAAAAAAAAGAAAGTTCATGATAGTGCTTGCTGACAAAGACTGAAGAGGTTTACAAAGTTGCATCTGAGTAAATCTCAAGACTTCGATTTTTGGGCAGATGAGAGGAAAGTGGAGATAGGGGGGCTTGGCAAAACCCAGAAAAAAGAAACTGTGTGGGAGAGGGGGTGATGACTTGGCTTGTGCTGCACCTGTTTAAACTGGCTAATTTGCATTCCCTGAAGCAATCTTGACTTCCTCAAGTATTTAGTAACTGCAACCAAAATCGGGTGAAATATAGGTCATGCAGCAGGACAATATCCTCAAAAACAAAAGCACATAGGTTCCAGCCCCTCTGAGACCATAGAAAATTGATGGATGGCTGTGTGTTATGTGTTGGTAATAAGTGTAAAAAATCATTTATTTTCAAGAACCTGACAAGCAAAACATGTCTGTTTCATGACATTGTGTTATACATAATCCATCTTCTATCACTTCTGTCATGTTTTATGATTATAACAGCGTGATGATGTTAATGAAGTTGATGGATTCAGTGAATGTCATCATTGCTATTGAATAAGAGCATTTTTCTTGTAGTCAAAAGTTTTATGTTACCTAAAGGTTGTTTACACTCTTGGACCAGATCGACCGCACTATTGTTGTATTTTTATCAAATCTAGCTATATTTTAAATGCTTGGTTTTGCTAAACATTTGGGGAATTTTCCTGGGCTGATATATGAATCTACCCAAGGAATGCTAATGTGTATGTCTCTAAACCTCCCATGTATGCAAATTTGATTTGCTTTTAGTTGTTGGGGCTTATTTTTTGTTGAAGACTTGGCGCTGTCCTAGTTTTTTTTTTTTTCAGTAATCAAGCAGAGAAATATACTCAGATGCCAGCAAATATCAGAATGTCAAAGTGGATCAAGTTGAGGAACTGAAATGAAATTCTTATCATGGAGACTGTGACCCAAATCTTTCTGTTGCATGTAAGTGGGTGGTGGTGTGGTGGGGGATATCAGATTGTGCAAAAAGATTTAGTTTGGTGATATAGGGAAAGTAGTGAAGATGGTTTGATTAAAATGGACCCTTTAGGAAAACCCTCAGCTTTGTGGATCTCTGCATCAGTGAGCAATGATTACTTTTTATCACCCATTAGATTATTTAACACTCTGAAAAGCTACCGTTTAATAAAGCTTCTTCACATATGGTGATGGTGGCTATAGAGTCCGTTGCTGTGCCTGAAAGATGCCACATGAATTTGTTAGCTCTCTGCGCAATATAACAGACTAAATATTTACTCTGGGTTTAAGATATCATGATGACATTTGGTCGATCAGCCACTGTTCATTTACTTTACAGTCTATGTCTGTTTCAGCCAGTTTGTTACTTAGCATGAGAACAGTCAGCCATCTGGCTTCAGACTTGGCAAGTATTCATGATTTCTGAAGTCACTGATATGCCAGAAATGCTGAGTAAATCTATGAATAAATGACAACGCTTTTTTATGGAGATCAAAGGAAAAACAGACTCAACCCAGCTTTAGAAATTGATCTTATAAGTTGATCTTATATAGGAAACGCTATAGAATCAGGACTTTCTCCGCACCAGTATTTAAGAGGCGAATTAAATTGACAATGACATTTACTACTTGATATTTTTTATCAAACCTGCTGAGTTTGATTATTGCAAATATTGCAAATTAGTTTTTAATGATAGTTTTAAAGGCTTAAAGGGAGACAGTGTTCATATAGCAGCAAATTCAAGGCAGCCAGGTTACTATTAAGTAGTCCCTAAGCTTATTAACTGTCAGCGTTAACAGTCGACACACGGGGGGCTTCCTGAAATCTGACAGCTGAAAAACATTCAGCTCGTTTCATCCGTGCAGCCGCTCGGCCGGTCCTCATCACTACCATATGCAGTTAGCCTCAAACTCAGCAAGTGCAGTGTTTCACTGAGACACTTGAGCTCTGGTACTGCTGCGTAACCTTTCAAAGAGGGGCACATTTAGACAGGTTAGATCAATGCTGCAGCCTCTCCTTCCTGAAGTAATATTGTGATATAATGTGTGCATCCTGCCTCCTTCTCCCCATTGCCCTATGATTCATCCCATGTGGGTGTTGTCCTCTGTTTGTCTTCATGCACTGGAAATATGGGCCGTTTGAGCAGGGTTACTGCGGTAACAAAGCTAAAAACAGCTCAAAGTGCAGGGCATCTAAGAACTTATGCAGTCGCGGAATGATTCTTGAGATCTTAAGGGAAAGTCTGGCAAACTTTTGGATTTTTAACCTCTTTGGTTTGTTCATTTTTGTGTTTATCTTCTCTCTTCTGCACTGTGAATCCTCTGAAGAGGAGCAGGACATAGACAAGTAGTGGATTTGGGACATTTTTATGTTGAAAAGTATTAAATATTTAATTGGTTGGTGGTTAAGGCGCTGCTAAGAGATAATTTGTTATCTAAGTGTATCTGCGTGTGTGTGTGAGTGCCTGTGTGTGGGGGCATACAGAGGATTAAGACTGGAGCATCTCCTTGGGGGGGTGGTTGAGAAATGATTGTTACAGTGCCATCTTAAATGGATCACGGCTTTTAGTTTTTTTTCCCTGCGTGACCTGGGACTTTTCAACTTTCCCTGCTCACGGCTGTGGTTCTTGGAATTGGATTGTGTTCTAATTGGAGGGTCTGTGGCCAGAACCCAAACTGGCTCATCCAAGCGTTCTCCGGCAACTCACAGCAGCTCTAATTGCCCCTGATGCCACTATGATGCTTGTGAGATTTTAGGTATCATAACAAACAAAACGTGTGTATAAGTGTGTGTACAAGTGTACGGTTACAGACAGTTGCAGACTTTTCTTTAGAAGTAACTTTAGCTACTTAAAGGATCTTACAACAAGATCTTGTTGTTCAACTTGCAGCAAGAAAGGGTTAAGCAGAGCAGTTACTGAAACTGCCTAAATTTGGACTTTTTTGGGGTTGAATCCATTAGCGACACCTGGAGGAGTTCCCTCGTCCTAAAACACAAATGAGTTAACTTGATGATTAATCACTGGAATATGAGTGTACCTGTTGTGAGTCTCCTTCTGTGTAAGGCAGTTTGGTGGACACATGAAACATGATCTCCTTATTATGGAAACTTGTGTAGATGGACTCTGTCCCCGTCTGCCCATGAGTGACATCGAGCCCGCCCCGAAAACTGGAGAAGCAAAGCAGTCGCAGCAGATTTAACAGCAAATGTTAGGAAAGTGACAGAGGAGGGACGTGACAGGAAGGAAAAAGGGGTGCGCAGGCAAGACAAGAGGACAGAAGAGGGATAAAAGAATTCTATTAGTGGTTCATAGTTGCTCGCTATTCAAACTCTGTCCACAGACATCATTAAGAAAACGCTAAGGGCACTTCATCCGTCTACTCAGCCACAAAATCAGCAACTCTGCAAATATCAGGACACAGAGCTTTTTCTTTCATGTTTGAGATTCACTTAAAACTAACTCTGATCAATAACCAAGTTAATGCCTGCTTGTTACAGATGATGAGTGAAGTGCTTATGTGAAACTGAACAAAACCGCTTAAAATCGCGTCGAGCAAAAATTCATCACAAAAGCATCCAAACCCTTTAAAGTCGTGAAGTTCAATCTTCTTTCCCAGAAACTCCAAGAACTCAACAAAAGCAGGACTTTCTTCCATATTCCCAAACAGCTCCTCCTCTGACGTCTGTGAGCAGGAGCCAAAAAAAAGAAAAAAGAAGGGATTTTCATGAGGACTGATGCGTGACTTGAAAAGCAAAGATTAGCTGCAGTATGCCTGAAGGACACTCACCTGACCAAACTTTTGATAAATAACTCCAAACTTGAAGTTGTTGCTGATTACATGCTCATCAAAGGTGACAATAAGCCTCGATGCCTGAGGACGGAAGAATAGGAGGCTTCTAGTAAGGCCGGACTGCTGGACTATTGATGGATGGACAGGATCAAGACAAAATAAGGACATCTCCTTACCTTTGGGTAGAGAACAGGGTAAAGCCTATCCACGTTTACTTCTTCACAAATAAGCTGCAAAATCAAAATATGTGTTAAGTTTTTATTAACTTCAGACATTGAAAACTAGAAAAATATACTTTTGTGCTATAATCAGGAAGCTAGTGATCAGTTACCTTGGCCATCTGAACCACATTGGGAAACTCCGTGAGGCAGGAGATGGGAATCACATCATGATAGGTTTTAAACTTTGTGCTGAAAGGCATATATGTCAAAAGTCAAAACGCTTACTGCTCTGTTCGCCATCCAAAAGAGTCTCCTGCTTTGAGTTAGTTTCTTTCTGCGATGCTAAGCTTTCATCTGATCAAGATGTCAATTCAGAGGGGACATTTCCTATTGATGTGTGGAGCAGGGAAAATAACCATTGTTGCACCTGATGTGTTTCGGCCAATACGGCCCAGGAGAGTGTCATTCATTTTTAGAAAGCTGCCGAGCACAAAGATTTCCATGAACAATAGAGGAAACCTGCAAAGTGTTTCGTTTAGAGGAAATCCGAGCGAGAAACAAAAGCTCACATTCTTGTGAAATAATAAAACGGGGGCACTTCACGTCACAGTTCAGCTCCCGTAAGATGTGTTTAATCATTTCCCTGCAAATAGCCTTGATGAGAAAATATCAGTTTTATACCTGCAACAAAAACGTGTGGCTGGATCCCGTACGGTAACTTAGACTAAAGAGGCTGGCGCTTTCTGAATGGAACCAAATCTGTCTTCCGGCAGCTCAATAACTAATCAACAGAAAACAAATAGCCTTGGACTCGGCAAACCTCTCCCTGGAACAGCAGTTTTCCCATCATCGCTTTGCGAGTGTAATTAAGGACGCTGACTCCCTTGCATTTATAAATCTTCTAAAAAAGTCGGCCGTATACCTTCACATTCTAAAGGCAAATGTTTTTGCCAGGAAAAACATCTCTCGGGTGTTTAAACTGCACAGGGGTGTTTTTCCACTATCTAGGGTGTACCCCCCCCTCTCGCCCAACAACAGCTTAGACAGGCTCCAGCCTCTCACTGACCCTAAAATGGATTATGTGGATATAAAAGATCGATGGATGGACATCCTGCTTATCTGAAGCTGAAATAAGCATCCTTCTTAACAATGACCAAGACACCGGTGTCACTGACACTGGTCAGTGACCAGTCAGTTACACATTTATATATTCACTTTTTATTGCCTGTACTTTTAATGAAGCCCAGTGAGAAAAAGGAAACAACTTTAAACCAGCACACAGTTCTCTAGAAAGTTGAAAAACGTTAATGAGTTCATAGCACATGAGGACATCATAAAAGTGGTGAATGCACTTTTGAGTTATTCATGCAACCTTGTCCATTTCTGGGCCAGCCCGGGGAGAGCCTGGAGCATGCATTAATCCAGATTTGTATCGTGATTATCCTTTTCCAACTTGAGGAGTGAGAAAAAAACACTCTGAAATAGTGTGAAATCTTGATCGCTTTGTGCTTTAACATAAATTGCTCTTCTTACATTGTCATTGTTACAACCCAAGTCCCTTGAGAATAGAGGAATATTTACATTTGAATGTTACCATTTGCAAGCTCACTGGATGTCAACGGGTGAATTTGCTTTCGGGAAAGCTACACGCCATAAATGAGAACGGCTTAACAACATCTAATCCCTACCTCTGCTCTACAATTCTACTATGTTCTTCTTAAGAAATACAAATGGATTGCCACTTCCACTCCTGCAGGTTTTCAAGGTACACTTAATGTGACCGAGACAGTTCCTTTTTGTTACAGTACCTGAGGTGACTGTGGGGGTGCGCCCACACAATAAAACACCCCTTCATAAAACAGCCGTGGGCTGAGGGCTGTTACCTCACTGTTCACTCATCCACTTCGCAAGTCCATTAACAAAGAAGAAATACTGCCATTAAAATCTAAAGAGAAGCCAAAATGAATTTCCAGGTTATACCCCACGCTGAGGTCGGCCTCTATCCAGATCATTTGTCAGTTGAATGTGCAGGAAGGAAAGTATTCCAGAGAGTGCGTACAGCTTTAGGCAATAGTGGGTGGGAGCTATTACACTTGTACAACACAAATGAATAGGGTGCTGGTTGTTGAGTACTTTTTTGGCACCATTTTGGAAAGTCAGTTTTTGAAAAAGAGAGGCTTGGAAATTTTTACTGCACCACACAAATATAGGCTGCTTCTGACTCGAATGGTCAAAGCACATCTTTGTAGGTTTATTTTTTGGTTGCCACATTAGCAGCACCTTTTCCAAATCTGCTATGGCCTATGCGATTGAATCAATTCAATGGTTTACCAAGTTTATTATACATGTTACCAGAATAAGCATTTATTTTTCAGTAGACTCAGTAACACAACACGCACAGCTACCAAAAAGCTTTCAGGCAGGGTGTGTGTGGACAAAAATGGTTCAAAAGAAATGGTTTAATACATTCAATTTTGGCTAATAACGGCAACCTCAACACAGAGCTCTAAATGATCAGCGATTATGGTGAAAATACGTTTTAGCCAAGAAAATGTGATTTACTGTGATTATTCTACAAAGAAAGCCTCTAGCATCCAAGGCTGCCAATTATATGTAAACCCATACGGATTTTGAACACAGAGAAATACATGAAGATGAAAAAAAGTAAATGGAGCAAACGCAAAGAAAAATCTGGATGTATTCAAAGCAGGAATGAGACAGAGCAGGCAACGGGGGGAAATATGTAAGAGGGCATACAGTAAGACATGTACCGTAGCATCAAGCGCAGATGCTCTTGATCCCCAATGACATCATACTTCACTGAAAAGACTATGTGCCCCAGGGCAGCATCCATGGTGTAGTAATTAAAGTGTTCCTGGGGGCAATAAGTGGAGGAAACGGTAAAATAGGGATGACTAATCCCACAGTCATTGACAGTGGGTGACAAAGTATTAAAAATGCTACATCAAATTGACATTGATTAAGGTTACGGTTAGTCCTAAAACAAGCTAAAAGACATGAAGTACAATATGGGATTAGCAGCATTATCAGATTTTTTAATACACAAAAGCATTGCAATTTCAGAAATAAAGTAAGTCTACTTCAATGTTTTTTAATTGTTGTGTTTTTTTAAGCCTGCCCATTTGTGCTGGAAAAGTGTACTAATACTATTATAGAGCATTAATAATTACAAATGAATGCTTTGTTCATAGTGCACCATCACAAACACTCTAAACACTAATGTGCTGTGGACTGGAAACTGAAGAACACTTTTAAGAGCAGCTTTGGTTGCTTACATCTCTATAAAGGTGCAAGTGCTATTTAAAATCAAGTGTACTCAAGATAATAGAAAGTATCCCAGCCCCAGTTCTCTCGTGTATAACATCTCTTTTCATTTTGCCATTTATGCTTTCCTACCTTGCCCATAAAATGTTTCCTGTAGATCTTGGCGGTGCTGTTTGTTTCCAGTTTTATTTGGGAGAAAGGACAGGCAGGCTGATCTGCTTCTGGTTGGTCTTTAGGTTCATGATTAGTTCCCTCAATCCAGTAGCCTCCAAACTGAGGCAAAAGGATGAGTGGAAAAGGACTTCTGCGACCCAGAACCTGACAGGAATGGCCAATCACAATGTTAAGCAAGAATATTTGGGATATGTGAGTAATTTTTATGTGGCAGGAACATAAAGGGTATCAATACAGGGTATTTGCATGTACCTCATGAACGCTGGGATAAGGGATGTAATCTTCTTCTGTCTACAAGTGGAAAAACAAATTTGAGTCAAAGTGACAAACAGACACTTATAAGGACAATAATAGAGCACAGATCCTCAAACAGGATAGCAAACACATTCTGATAAACACATTTGTGTCTAGTTTGTGACATGTTGATAACATGAGAGCAAGTCGTATATATGTATATATATATATATGTATGTGTGTGCATGTGTGTGTGTATGTGTGTGTGTCTGTGTGTGTATAAAAGCAAACATTCTAAATAGAGTTTAAAGAATTTCAATACATACATATATATTGTACACTATATAAATACTGTAAATTCTTCTGCTGGGATTATGTAATTTTAGAGAAGGGGTTTGGCAAAAGTTTCCTTCCTGCATTTTATAACTTACAGTTGCATGGTGCTAAAACCTCTTAGTATCGACATGACGAAAGGGTCAGGACCTTCCTCTTTGAGAAGTAAAGTGATATTCAGAGACCTGTGTCTGAGAATGTTTTTGCACTTTGTGTGCACTACTGCTTAAATCACATCTCTGGTCATCACAATACAGTTTAAAGAACTTAAAAAACAGATAAGTAAATAAAAGGAAAGGAGTGATGGGTTAATTAGTCTCTCTGTAGTTCCAGTTTTTGTCAGCACGCCAACAAACAGCTCTTTGTCAGTTTTCATGGTGGGAGAAGTCCCATTAGTTCTAGATATGGTAAACTAATGGTTCCAACGTAAAAATATTCCACGTCATATACATTTTCCAGGTCATATAATGAAGGTTAAGGAGGGGGTTTTCAGCAAGCATAGTCATTTAAGACTTATTGGTCAGAGTTGAGGTTAACATAGGCAAGTATAGGCTGATTTAGTAAATCTAAGGATATTTTTAGCTAGCTATGAAAAATACATATATACAAATATACTTGTGATTATGTGTGCACAATTCTCTATGGTGTCAAGTGCATTCTATATTTTTTTTAACTTTCACTGTTATCTATGTCCAAATATTTGATTTAAAAATCAGCATTTTGTGAGTATCCTTTCCAATGTTAATAAGACACTGTTGCACGATCACAAAGCAAAATCCATGCTTCATTTCAGTTGGATACAGCTGACTGAGGTCCTGACATTAACTCCGTGCAACACTTGAGTTGAATGGTAGCAGATCCAGCCGCGGCGCACCATGAGTGCCGGGCTGCAGTTGGTTGATTGGAAACACACCACTGAAACGGTTTCAAACTCTTTGTGGAGTGCCTGCACGGAACAGTAAAGGCTGTTCCAGGGGATATGAGTCCTAGCTGTTTTCAAATCAAATGGTCAACAAAAGCACAGCCGGCAAGTGGCCATACTGAGTACATCATTATCTGATATTCAGATTTTTAACCACATCACTTTGCTTAATTAATGGCAACAAAAAGGTAGGGAAATTTGATCATCAAGTAGTTACAAATTTCCATTTTACCCAAATTATCATCGAGTTACCTTATATATTTTCTTCCTAACTTGACTTCAGAACTCCTGCTAAGACCAGTGAGCTTCTAGTCCTCTGCAACAGCCTGCCTAGGTAATAGGACAGCGGAGGATTTTGCACTTCCTGTCTCTGCTGAGCTCATAACTCAGTCGGTGAGCACCCTAAAGCCTGTTTGACAGCTGATAAGGAAAGGTTTATAACTCTGCCATTCCAGATGCTTTACCAGACTCTGCTGTACAAGGAGATGTGAGGATTTGTGACTCACTTTGAGGGGAGGAGGGAGGGGGCATCTTTGCTCGTCCATTCTGCAACTCTGGGGAGAGAAAAAGAAAAAAATGACAAGGCAGTGATGGCAAGGGGTGAAATATCTACACAACCTCCCCAAAGGTGTATAAAGACACAAAAAGAGATGCATCCTCATAGCACTATAGACTGTCAAGAGCTGCAGAATTTAGTGCATAACAGCACACTTCATGACAGTTCACTGTGACAATAGTTCATGTTTACATATGCAGGCTCGATCACCAGATGGGCAAGAAAAAGAGGAAGTAAAGAAGAGTGAGATCCAATAGGGGAGGGGAAAATAAAGCACGATGCACAGACAAAGATGAGTAACAAAGCATTTCTGATCAGTGGCCGCTTTGTGCGGAATATCCTCTGGCAAGGTTTGAAATGTATCAGATTTGAGGTAAAGCACATTTTTCAAGCTACAGAGGATGAATCACATGGAAATTGAAAATGGCTCTCTCATTAAATTTGTCGTCTGAAAAAACTGCTCCAGCGCTTCCATTATTCTCACACACATATTCTCTTGTTGTGGAAGATATGCATGATTCTAAATTGAATACTATTCAACGGTTGTGAGGAAGTTTTGCCCCAGTGCCGTCCAGCTGCTTAGCAACCAACACTAAATACAATTAATATGGTTTGAGTAGCTTCTTCAGTAAGGCTTTGAAACTGATGTAAAAAATTAATCCGTAAATGCTAATCTTAAGTCACTCTCCTCTGTAGCAACACTTGAAGTCCAACAATATATAAGTGCCTTTTGTTTATGCATCTTTGTTAACGTTATTCTGCTCTTCTCCTTATAAAATCGTAACTATTGAATTAACTTAAAAGAGTGTTGTGGACTTTGATCTCGAAGGAAGATCGGTAGCACAGTGTTAGAAAAAAGAAAGCTTTATCAGTTTTTAAAACACATTCACAATCAAGTGAAAGGAAAAAATTTTTTTAAAATGTGTGGACCTCTTTAAAGTCAAATACGCTCTCAGATCAAAGTCCTTGGTCAAACCGTGGTGCTCATTTTCGATGGGCTTGTATCCAGTGAGCACGTTGCTGTAAAATTGCAACTCTTGCAATAAAACAAAATAGATTTCTGCGACTCCACCTCAGCGTAATGAAAAACACAACAGTTCACACATTTGATGATGCAGACAAAACCACCCAGCTGTGAAGAGAAAACAAAGGCTCTGCACAGCACGCTGAGGAGCATAAGGTTTCTTGAGGAAGCCTGAGGCTGCACATATCAAAAAAGGGAGTCGGACACATGAAAGCACGCACAGAGAGGTGAAGTGTTATGCTAACTGGGTCGGATGGATGAATGTAAGAGCAGCATAAAAGGAAAAGAAAGAAAAACACAAAGGGGGCGGTGTCCTCACAAATAGAATTCAATCGAAATCTTATGTGCAGAGCGAGTGAAATTCTGATTGTGTAGTTTGATTAAAGCCTGTGAGAGAAAGCACGGACACGTTTAGCAGATTGCACAAATAGCCGAGCTAAGGGACCGCTCACAGTACCTGCATCCTCTCGATCATGGCAAACAGGTCCGAGGTCTGGGAGAGAGAGTTGACAAAAATCCAGAAAGGGACATGTTTGTGATCATCTGTAGAGCTGTGTTAACACACTTTCCCTGTGGCCTTCAGTCTAACTTACTGTCTGCTTAGTGAAAGAGCTGGCTCCGCATTCTCAAAACACAAGACTTCCTTATGAAATTTCTCATTCCCGCACAATAACTTCCTCTCCGATGGCTCTCGTCAACTTATTTCCATCCCCGCTTGATGCTGATCACAACAAGGCCCTATTCATCACCAGGATAGCTCTTGAAATTGTTCCTCCACGCTTCAAGACAAACACACTGTAAACAAGCAACTCTTAAGGGGAAAGGAGCGTCAAAGCTCCATGGTGCCTCTGTCTGTTGCTAAAGCCAACGGCTCTTCTGACTACACACAGCAGCCAAATTATCTGGAAGACACTCTGCTTCTATTGTCTGAGGCACACAGTCACATTAGCGTGTGACGGGGACACATTTCACACAACAACTTATTTGGTAATAGGCAAACACAACTTGCATCAATAATAAACGAAGATGAATACGTGGACAATCGGACAAAATTAAATAATTTAAAAAAAGCATAATCCTGATGCTATTTCTATTCATTATTCATGCAATTGCTATTTGTGCTGATATCACTGCTGCTCAGGATTTCCATTGCGGCGCACATTAACCATTCACTGCTTAAAGAGCTTAAGTGTTATGCTCCACGTTTTGTCCAATTAGCAGAAGCACTGGAGGAGGTTAAAGTAAAAAACAAAATACCCTCAGGCACGCACCTTTCATCTGCGGAGGCCACATTAAGGATTTTAGCAGCTCCAACCTGTGATGAAGGAGGACCACAACAGCTCTGACAACTGGGGTGCGTCCTCCGTTCACCATGTAACACAAATGGACTGCAGTGCCAAGCTGATGTTTCCACATGGCGGCTTAAATTTACTAAGGGGCCTTCCAGACCTTCCGAAAACACATATGCACGCATAACCACTGGAAAGCACTGGCATGCACATTTGCATTTTTTCATGCCCTTAAATATTCTTTCTGACTACTACATAGTTATTCTCTCCTCCCCAAAATACACATCTCACCCTGCGCTAGAAAGAGCCAAAGGTGCAGCCTCAGTATATTGCGAGAAATAAACTGTGCCATATGATATTCAGCGAGATGTTTCTCCCCTAACTGCGAAAAACAGACATCATCCCGTGCCAACCAGATTATCCCTAGACCAGCCAGACTCCACAGTAACCACATTAGGGTTGAATCTTCCCAGAGAGAAAAAGAGGAGGCATGTTCTCCTTGACTGTGGAGGCACCCCGTTAAAAACAGAGCCCACCAGCCACAATTCTGTAATGTAATGCTCAGCCTCAAGGCAAAAAAAAACTCACATTGTGTTGCACACCTTATACACACGTCTAAAACTAAAACTAAAACGGTGTCTCCGCAGAGAAAAAAAAAACCTAATTCCACCGCGTCTTCCAACATCAAACATGCATTATGCATTTCTGACCCTGAGCAATCTTAACTTTTCAATAAAGTCAAATAAATTCCTCCTCTGCCTACGGCGAATGAAAACATTACTCACGTCGCTGAGGCACCGTCTCTTGAGAAAAGGTTTACTAGGTGAACTGTTAGGAAGTCCATTCACTGAGACGGTCTTACTAATCCTGAGATCAGTCATGATTCCACAAGCACAGATGCAGGCGGGCTGACAAGATGGAGGGTGTTGATGGAACCGTTGGCCCCGCAGATGAAGGCGAGATTGACAGTTACACTTGACACTCACGGCCGCTCAGGCAGCAAACTTTGGGGAGAAGGCTTGATAGCTGTCCATCAGCGTCCATACATCTACGCTCTAAAGTGAAAGCACGCACTGTAATGTGAGAAAATAATCTCTCTTCCTTCCTCTTTTCAAATGACCCCCTCCCTCCATCTGCCACCACCCTCCAAGTGACACACACAGCTGTTCTGTAGGAAGTCGGGTGAAGGCGGAACAGTGCCGGTCCCCACCCTGTACTGTGCGGCTATCTTTTCTTTTTATTGCAACCATACACATTCGCGGGAGGACACCAGAAACTGCATGGTTCTCTTTTTTTTCTCGAATATATATCACAGATTATGAGAGTGTTCTGTTCCTCTTTTCTTTCATATTTCTCACATCTCTCTGACCTAAAGCATTTCTGCTTTGAAAACATGCCAACACGATCCTTTCTTTCACATATATCATCAGTGACAAATACAAAACTGCAAAAGGTTTTCGTGCCATGTATTTGTAAGACACAGGTTGAGAAGAGGACTTCTACACACTCTCTGGTTCCATTTTTGAACCACCACCCATAGAATTTCAACACTTTCAACGAGTTTAGAAATGTCTTCTTCTTTTTTCCTTTACTTTCAATTCAGCACAACATAAACTAGACAAAAAGGTTACTAAAAAATAACTGCAAACAAAGAAGATTTACGTGGAAATACATCTGTCGTTTAAAGAAATCAACGCCGGAGCCAGGCTCTGCACCTTTGAACATCAGCGGTTCATCGTAAGGAATATCTACAACGTGAGAGCACATCTGGCAGTGAGAGATGGAGAAGTGAGGGAAGATTTAAAAAGAAGACAAGAGAAGTGCAGTGGGATGAAAGAGGAGAGGCTGCACTGTCCAAATCCATCCTTTAGACATTCATTCTCTATCAGATACCAGCACACACATACTTCTTGAAAAAAAAAAAAAAAAAAAAGGGGGGTTGTTTTCATGAAGATGGATTACAGCCAAATAAAATGGACCTGACAAAAGACTCAGCAGTTTTCTTTTGGCAATATGAACCAATTTGAATTGGTGTCCCGTTGAGAAAAACTGTTGTATTTTTTAATGAGCTGAAATGGTCATATTTCAACAAAAAGCAGACAAAAGAAATAACGTTAAATAATGTGACGCAGCGTGAGAGGGGGCCTGCCGCTTAAACACCGGCTCTTCCTGTAGTCACTGTTCATTACCAATAAGCTGCATGCCCAGGTGTAGACTGGCTTTAGCTGAATACCAAAATGGGATCTGAGAGCATTTACAGACTAAATCTGAATACTAATAACACAGTAGCATAGGGAACAAGTACAACTGTTACTCTGTGGCAAATGAGTGGGAGACGTTAATTAGTATTCAGAATCACACAATGAGCACTGAGACTGTACCAGTTGTAAAGAATACTGATTTTGAAGCCTGTATGTTCCATTTAAATATTTTATCGGAAACAGCTGAAAAAAATCCCACGGCATGCTAGCAATATCAAACACGACAGTAAAATAGGGTGTAGAAAGGAAGAATGTGTGTTGAAAAAAAAATATTGACACACAACAAGCAGGGTGAAAAAAAATCACTAGTTTTTCAGACTTCATAACGTTCAACCATCGAAGCTTCTTAAAAAAAAACCTACTCATGTTTCATCAATGTGCCAACAGTAAAATGTTTTTGATTAAAGACTGAAAAGTAACAATATATCACACAAGATATTGAATCATTTGATAAATATTTCATAATCCATTGGTTGTATTTCATGTTAAAAGTACGAGCCAAAAAACAGAGATTACAGAGATTCTTGTAGTGGTAACAGTACAAGCGCCATCACTGTTTGCATGCCTTAGGGGTTGAGGACCCACACATCATTTTCTTTTGAGTTGATTACCAGCTTTTGGAATTTGTACATATATGCATTTGTGTGTTTGTCTGTATGCTAAAGAAAGATAGATATGACTGAACAAGAAATTCACGGCTGACCTCACTGATTGACGGTGCTGTTGGGTTGTGTGTCATAGATACTGTTGTCATTTGAAACATGGTTCCACACGGTCCAGTCTCTCTCCTCGTTCTCTAAGCTGAGCAGTAAACTTCTGACTCCAGGACTTCATTAAGGTTTCACAACCGGCGCTCCATTTGAATTTCCACAGACAAATCGACAACGATATGTATCCAAAGCAATATCCCTGCGCCCACGCATTCCCGGTCTCTCCATTAATGCACTGTGGTGAAGCTGGATCCTCAAAGGCGTGCGCCTGCACTAAATGGGAAAACTAAACTTCAAAGGCAGTCAATCAACCAGCACGGAGGCGCGTTGTTTCACCCAGAGAAATCCACCGTGGTGCTTTCATTTTCTGTGGCTGCACAGATCTCCCCTGGCCTCGCTGGGGCCACTGCAAGGCCCCCAGAGACACAAGTGGAAGTGGCACAAATGACTGCGTCCACCCTATGAACACCTCCCATAAGCCGGTTGCCACATAGGTTAAGCTCCACAGATGAAGACAAACAGATACCCTACAGTAAAAGACCAGAACAGTCAGGTCAGAGAAAGATGCCCGGATTGACTCCAACAATTTGATTTACCTCCGTTTGACATTTGTCTACGTAATCCAATTGCTCAAACTGCTTTGAAAAGACTAGGAGAAGGCAAAATCATTAAATTCATCACTTTTCCCGAGACGGCTGCCGCTGCAGTTTCGCAACACTGCCAGACTTGTAATGGACAGTGAAACAACACAGGAAAATGAAAAGAATTTACAAAATCAAATTTCAAGAATTGTTCTGACGTTCTCGTCACAAATCAAATCAAAGGGGGAGGAGTAGCGTGTTACGCTTGAAGAAAGCTTACATAGCATGTAGAAAACCTGAAAAAGAGACAACAACTCGGCTTATTCTAAAAAGGTACACAGCGAGTGTTGTTGTTGCTGAAAAGTCCAAGACGAGAGATGACCAAAGTTACAGAACTGTGACTTTGAAGCCTCGCTTGTATGACATGTCCTCAAGCTGTTAACATTACTGTGTGGGTGCACGAAGTGGAGAAGAAAAGAGGGAAAAAAAACTGGGAAGGGCTTGCAGTTAGGTGTCACAGCCTACAGTTACAGCCAACAGTTGGTATTACTAATCATGCAGATTATAAACCAAACTTAACAACTTTACTTTTTTACTGAGTGGCTCAGTGTGACTTTGTATTAACTTTTGGGATTGCTTAAATCTGAGTTTGCACATCACTAGATTTTACACTTTCAAACCAGTATAGAGTTACATCGAGTTACATCATCTCAGGAGATGTATCCCCCCCACACTTCTTTTGGTACAATGAAGGGACATATAGTACGAGTGAAAAGACTTGGACATGTGAATTCAAAGGAGCTTATTGAATATCTTATCAAAAACTCATTTGAAACATGACTGACCACCTAAAAGAATACAATATGAGGGCCATTAGGGCTTATTTGTGCTCCAATAGACTCAAGTAAACCTGTAAATAAGATGTTTGATTAAAAAGGATCAAAGAAGGAAACGACAAGCCAAACTTTAGATGTCACAAACGTCATGATATAGGTCTTCTGGAATGCAGTTCATGCTCTCATAGCATTTCTGCGGCTCTGAATTACATAATGCGTTTGTTGGTGTAGATCCTCATCATCCAGGTCACAATAATCCCAACAACTTGAGTAAAGGTAAGAGGACTTCTCCTTGGTTCTTGAAAGCGTTTCACCTCTTATCCAAAAGGCTAATTCAGTTCTTTCCTACAAGGTGGGGAGTATAAGCTTATAGGCAGAGAAGGCTATTGAGTCTGAACCCCTACGGTAACACTACAGATCCAGGCTGAAAGGACAAGTAGTGTCTCAGAAGCTACGTCTGTGTGAATACAGCCAAGTTAGCATTTAATCTAACCGTATTCTATGAAGGCTTCTAGCTTCAGCTACTTAGACTTTCCACAGCACTGAAACCACAAAGCACCAGCATGTTAAGTGAGCTCATGTGTTTAAAAAACTCTTTTGGGTGCAATCACAGACTTATGGTCGAAACTGCAACTTCCTCTCACTACAGACATTTAATTCCCACTGGCATTTGGTTTGGAAGTGCAACAATTTCACATCTTTAATGGGAACAGGTGTGCAGTTTGATGCAAGTAACACAAATTAATGAAAAATATGATCAAATTTAGACACAAAAACACATTTAGAGCTTGAGATCGATGCAATACGTTCATCACCGTATGTTCTCATATGTGCTCATTGCAATGTGTGTCTCAGATGGTACGTTTAAGTCAGGAACAACTGCCGTAGATCTATATTTGTCCTATAAGCCTTTGACAGAGGGCGGGCTCTTCTGTCAGGCGCCACCACAGCCTGGCAATGAGAGCCATCGCAGTGGGGCCGCAGAGGCCTTTCACCTTGGGGGGACATTTGACGGATATGATGAGCCAGAAAAAGAGAGGAGCCCAGTGGGGAATTAAAATGAACAGATGGAATGAGGCTTGCAACTCTATTTTAATGTAACTACATAACTGGACCGTGTCATCACAATGCCAAATTGTGACCGACAACTTTAAAGGCAGACAAAAACCAAATACCTTACCTTTGTGACAAATACCTTTAACATTTCTAATATTTAGAATTTAGGAAAAAATGTCAGAAAGTAAATTTGTGTGCTGATACATACACAAGGGACCCTTTACCTTAGATTTTAGGATACAAATCATTCCCTCCAATTGTGCTAATAATATTTAAGTGTAGGAAATCTAGCAAAAGTTTAGTTAAGAAGAGGACTCTGAATACATATTTACTCAAATTAATTTAGTCTGTGTGTGTTTTCACCCTTTTCAGGTCTGCCTGTCAGACATTGCCATAACCTTTGTAAGCCAAGTCATCCCAACTGCTGTCAAGCTTCA